CTAGCTTTTCAGGTCAGGATGGATTTGGTCAGTTCAGTTTGGTTTCATTTATTTTCAGTTACAATTAGTGTTGGGCTGATGTGATTCTTTACCCTGATACCAATGTATATTTATAACTGCATACTACTTGGATGTAAAATAATTGCCATCATGGCTTTGTCAAGCTGCTGCCTACCTTTGCGAAGCAGGAAAAAAGACTAATACAAAGTGAAACCAGTAGAACTTTTCATTGCCTACCTGGAATGGGTGCAATGGGTGAGTTAAATAAATTTTTGGCTCTCAAAATGGTATCGGTGCCCTATTTGTTGGTACTCGCCGATACCAATACCACCATTTTAGTTGTGGATAGGGGCCCTTCACAATACTGGTATCGCTGCAACACTAATAACAATTATCTCAAAGGGAGCAGGATCCCAACAGACTGCTGCTCGGTTGATGGTTGTTGTCAGACTCAACAGTAAAGGAGGAGGGCCAGAGAAGGCTGTGGACTGCTAGAAGAAACATCCAAAATACAAAGAAAGCTAACACTAATTAATAACAGTTCAGCTTGCTACAATGGTGATCATACAGAATAAGCCCAGAATAATTTAACAGTTGATTTAAGTTAGTAAGACATGCTGCTGTTACTAATATTGCCAACATTTTCAGTCCGATTTTGAATGGTTAGAAATATAGCAACCAGACACTTTCATAGAAAATGTTCCATAGAACCGTTACTAATGGAAAAGCTGAAAAAGCTACTCAGCCTGTAGTGAAACACTCAGTTTGTGATCATGGAAAAGGAGCAGTAAAAAGTCTGGCCCAGTTTACACAACAACAGTCCATTGAATAGGGCTGGGTATTTTCGCCAAAGTCCTGAATATATTCGATTTTGATTCATACAGTTCTAAATCGATTAATTTCAATTCGGTCTGTTTTCACAACAATGAAAGTGGTTCAACTGTTTCAAAATACTCATGTAATTTATTTTTTCCTGTCATATTAAACACAAAGTGCAAACTTGTAAATCAGACAGTTTTAAGTTGAGATGTGAACAAAACTGTCTCAAAAGTGCAAACTTATTTGGGATAAGTGAAAAGTTTAGCCTCACTCGAGCGAGCAGACAGGACACAGCGGGGACACAGCAGACATGCATGAGCTGCATTATCTTCACTGCACAAACCAAATGGTGCAGCGTTTTCTGTAACAACTACAGGGTGTTTGCTGGTCAGCCCCCATTTGTTAATGTCTTCAGTCAACCTATTGGCTATATTTGCAGCTGTCTGGCTTGAAGTAATCTTGAGTGCATCCTTCCTGCTCATTTGAATGTGAACGTCATGCGCGTCATTATAAAACTAATCCAACTCATTCCATAGACATAGATTTTGCAAAAATGTAAAGGAATCGATCAAAATCGATTAATCGTTTTTTTTTTAACTAGCCCTACTATTGAAATCTGTATTTCTTTTTACGTCTTTCTTTTTTATAAATATATATATATATATATATATATACACTATATTGCCAAAAGTATTTGCTCACCTGCCTTGACTCACATATGAGCTTAAGTGACATCCCGTTCCTAATCCATAGGGTTCAATATGACGTCGGTCCACCCTTTGCAGCTAGAACAGCTTCAACTCTTCTGGGAAGGCTGTCCACAAGGTTTAGGAGTGTGTTTATGGGAATTTTTGACCATTCTTCCAGAAGCGCATTTGTGAGGTCGCACACTGATGTTGGACGAGAAGGCCTGGCTCTCAGTCTCCGCTCTAATTCATCCCAAAGGTGTTCTATCGGGTTGAGGTCAGGACTCTGTGCAGGCCAGTCAAGTTCATCCACACCAGACTCTGTCATCCATGTCTTTATGGACCTTGCTTTGTGCACTGGTGCACAGTCATGTTGGAAGAGGAAGGGGCCAGCTCCAAACTGTTCCCACAAAGTTGGGAGCATGGAATTGTCCAAAATGTCTTGGTATGCTGAAGCATTCAGAGTTCCTTTCACTGGAACTAAGGGGCCAAGCCCAGCTCCTGAAAAACAACCCCACACCATAATCCCCCCTCCACCAAACTTTACACTTGGCACAATGCAGTCAGACAAGTACCGTTCTCCTGGCAACCGCCAAACCCAGACCCGTCCATCAGATTGCCAGATGGAGAAGCGCAATTCGTCACTCCAGAGAACGCGTCTCCACTGCTCTAGAGTCCAGTGGCGGCGTGCTTTACACCACCGCATCCGACGCTTTGCATTGCACTTGGTGATGTATGGCTTGGATGCAGCTGCTCGACCATGGAAACCCATTCCATGAAGCTCTCTGCGCACTGTTCTTGAGCTAATCTGAAGGCCACATGAAGTTTGGAGGTCTGTAGTGATTGACTCTGCAGAAAGTTGGCGACCTCTTCGCACTATGCGCTTCAGCATCCGCTGACCCCGCTCCGTCAGTTTACGTGGCCTACCACTTCGTGGCTGAGTTGCTGTCGTTCCCAAACACTTCCATTTTCTTATAATACAGCTGACAGTTGACTGTGGAATATTTAGGAGCGAGGAAATTTCACGACTGGATTTGTTGCACAGGTGGCATCCTATCACAGTTCCACGCTGGAATTCACTGAGCTCCTGAGAGCGACCCATTCTTTCACAAATATTTGTAAAAACAGTCTGCATGCCTAGGTGCTTGAATTTATACACCTGTGGCCATGGAAGTGATTGGAACACCTGATTCCAATAATTTGGATGGGTGAGCAAATACTTTTGGCAATATAGTGTATATATATATATATATATCCCTGCACTTATATCTCCTTTGCTGATGTAACGAGTACATTTCTCCACTGGAGATCAATAAAGACCATCAATCAATAAATACATTTTTTCCATGTCATATCTACATGGCAACGGTTAAATCACATTAATCACAGTCTACATACACATAGTAGAAGCCTGACAATGGTACCATTTTCTTGCCCATTGCTATTTTGCGGCTTGTTCTTCAAACCCAACAACATTTGAAAACACTTCCTGCTTAGAAAACAGTTTCCTTTTGTCGGAGAACCATCAATACATTTTAAAAGAATTGGGGCAAAGTTACTAAGGAAAAATAAAAAAGTAAATTTTCCAATGAAAACTGCTCTTCTTTTAGGTTCTTAAAATCAAAAACCACCTGCCAGGACGTTTAAGCAGGTGACATTTATATCTACTTTCCAGAAACAGGATTAAAAATAACATGTGCTTTCATCCTTGACAGGCTGCCCAAACAGCTCCTAAGGCCGCGTTTCTCAAAGTGTGTGGCGCGACCCACTGGTGGGGAATTGAGACGTGACAGGTGGGGCGCGCCAAGTTCCAGTGTGTGTGTGTGTGACTATAAATGTAGAACGTGTGAGAGCAAACTGTCCTTATAGCTGTATGTTGCCGCTTTTTAGACCAATCAAACCCACAAAGTAATCATTACTAGCCTACATGCAGTCTAATTAAAAGAACATAAGATATGAGAAAAATTTCACCTGGAACTGAAGTGCCAAAATAATGATTGACGTGACGTCGGCATATTATTTGTAACGGAATAAACTTTCGCGCCCCAGTGTTGCCAACTCAGCGACTTTGTCGCTATATTTTAGACCCCTCCAGCGACTCTTTATCAAAAAAGCGACTAGCGACAAATTAGCGACTTTTGGAGACTCTTACGTGAAAGCACGTATCGTTCCTTTTCTTGTCCTCCAGCGGCAGGTGCTGCCGTGGGGCGCCTCCCCCATCCCAACCCCGTTCTCCCCCGCTATCGCAGGAGTCCCTCTCAGCGCTGCAGAGACACAGCATGTTTACCCTTACCCCTTGCTCACACTGGCTCCGGTGCGGTTACCGAGCCGACAGAGACCGCAACTCCCGCACACCCCATCTCACACCGCCCTTTTGACTACGGTGCGGTGCGGCTCTGCGGCTCCGGCAACAGGTCCGGAGATTTAACAGAAGTTCACTTGAGTTCACGTAACTTCACGCGATAACACGGCCCAAATAAGGATATTTGCGAGAGCTTGTTGCGGAGGTTCTCCGGCACGCCGCAAGGATAGCTTTCTTGCGGAATTTTCTGCAGCGCCGGAGTGTCTCGGTAACCGCTGCCGGACAGCTCAGCAGCCGGTGAGAGAGGTTTACGTCTTTTTAATGACTTGGAATCACTGCGGCGCCGCACCCACCGCACCGCAACGGTAAGACCGGAGTCGGTGTGAGCCTGGGGTCAGCGTCCAGACTGCAAATAAAGCGCACATGCGCCGGGATTGGCGGCGCAGGTTGATCATAATTAACTGAATTTGAAATATTTTATCTTAAATAAATAGGACCAGTTTATTGAAATGACGTCTGACTCCACCCTGAGGCTCAGGTTTAATGCTCAGACTCATAGTGAATTCTGGTTTGGAGTGGAGAGGGAGTTTCCACTCATCGGGCAGAGAGCTGTGTGCATTCTTCTTCCCTTTGCCACATCATATCTCTGTGAGATGGGCTTTTCAACTGTTGCTTCACTGAAAACAAAATACAGATCTCAGCTGAACATTGAGCATGACTTGAGAGTGGCAGTATCAAGCCTGCAACCCCGTTTTGAGAAACTGTGCAATGCAAAACAGGCTCATTGCAGCCACTAATGCAGGGATAAATAGACCTGTATTGCCAGATGGATTTCACTTCTTTTCTTTTATTAACAGATTTATTTTTTCTATCTTTGAGCTTGATACAAATTTTGACACAGCTGCATTTTTATTTTCTTTATTTTTGAGCTTGCTGTTATTTGATGTAGATAGTTTGTATTTAGATACTACTTGTTACTTCAATAAAATTGGAACATTTTAAGATTGTTGCATATTTCATTAGCATTGTGTTGGGGCGATGGGGACAGGCGGGGCTTGAAAATTCCCCCTTGTCCAAAGTGGGGAATGACAGAAAAAGTTTGAGAACCACTGTCCTAAGGAAACATTGTCTGCAGCTGATAGAGTGGATAAAGAGAACATCTAGTGTCTATTTGGAGATTGTTGTGAACATACCCAGGCTGGCTGGGCGGTGGGAACAAATGTCGCTCAGGATCGTCTGCAGGTTGGTTAAGATCTGCTCACTGGACATGTCAAGCTACACAGAGGGAGAAAAATGGAAGATGTGATTTTAATTTATCTTCTCTTTATAACTAATCTGTGATTAGATTATGCCTTTATCTGTTAGGATTCACATGAAGTTCATTTTTAGGGATTTGAGATTTTAATGTTGTAAAAACAAACCCAAGGATAACAGATAAAAACTACAGCCCTTAGAATTTTAACATGTTGAAAACAAGGGTTTTCATTTTTTATAATTTGGAACAAACATGTTAAAGCACATTTAAAATCCATTGACACTTTAAACATATCTCAATTAATAACAGTTTTTACTGACGTTAGATTTTTTTAGCGGGTAGATTTTATCTTGATTAAAATAAAAATTCACATAAAAGGTTTTTATTTAAAAAAACCCAACATTAAATAAAAAAAATAATAATAATTTGGAAAATCAAACTTTGTTCAATAGTCAGTTTTTGTTCTTACATGCTTATGTGGGCATGAAGAAAGAAATAAAAAAAATGTCAAATCAAATTTCTCACTAAAGACTTGATAACAAAGGTGAAGCATCCTCTACTTGGTGCTGCAGGGTGTTTGTTGCTAGAAAACCTCTCAGATCTCCTTCAGCTACATTAATAACATGAGCTTGACAGATGGGACGTACCATAGCGATCTGGGTCCTGATGTAGCAGTCGCTCTCCACCAGGTACTCGTGACCCATTTTAAACAAATCCAGCGTCTTGGGGAGGTTATTGCTGACTGTGCCTGAGTTTGAACACAAACACATAACTGCTCAGCACTCTGCTCCTCCAACATCATAGTTCCAACCAAGTATTTACATTATCCTTTCTGGATATGAATCAGACTAAATTTTGCAGGTTTTAGGTTTTTATTTTCTAAATATTCAGAAGAAAGAAATAATTTTTCCTCTATGATTTCCTGAGTATTTATTAGCAGTACTTTTAAAGATTTGGATTAAATGTTGTGGGATTCTTTCCACAAGCTTCTCACTACAGTTTATTGGATTTTTTTCCCCCATTCCTCCAGACAGAGCAGGTGTAACTGAGTTAGGTTTGCTGGCTACCTTGCTCACACACTTCATTTCAGATCCAGGTCTAGATCAGGGTTCATGAAGGCCACCAGCAAACACCAACATCGTCTCTAATCTAGCTCATAGCTAAACGGGGATTCTGCTGTGGGACAATGGAAGAGCTCTTTGTGAAAAAGCTTTAAACGATTCCCTGATGTCTTTAGATGCATATTCACCAGTTAATCATGATGGTTTTTCCTAATAATCCAGTCTATTTCGTGAAGAAAACTAAGCAGACATCTGCAGCTTGGTTGTGGAAGGTCTGAACAGCTAGGCGTTTCATACGTACAAATGTTGGATGATCCGTTTAATCATTCATTCATTATTTCTTTACTAATACAATCATACAGATTTAGAAATTGTAGTCATCTCTGTAAGTTAGCTTTGGGAAGTGGTGGCCTACTGGAAAAGTTCTCATTTTATTCTATGACACTTTGATGAATCACTAACATTTAATCGCCAAATAAAAGTTATAACAGATCATCGTGATGAAGTTAAAGTTGTTTGAAAAAACAAAAAAAACAACCAAGTTTGTATGGACTGAGTCTGTATAAACCCTGATGGTGACATGGTCATCTACACCTCACCTTAACCTTGACACACAGTGGCGTACTGCATATTCTTAATTCATGGTTCTTTCTATTTGTCCAAAATTTCAACTGGAAAACTGAGAGGGGTCCGGCTGCAGACCTGTGGGCTTGTGGAGGTGTACAATTCTGCCTCGAGTCTTGGGACAGCTCTTTGGTCTTGGCCATGTCAGTAGTTGGATTCTTACTGATTGTAAGGATTGGACAGGTGTCTTTTTTCAGCTAGATACCTCAAACAAGTGCATCTAATTTAGGATAATAAATGAAGTGGAGGTGGACATTTTGAAGGCAGACTAATAGGTCTTTGAGGGTCAGAATTCTAGCTAATAGACAGGTATTCAAATACTTATTTGCAGCTGTATCATACAAATAAATAGTTTCAAAGTAAAAAAAAAAACATACATTGTAATTTTAGATTATGTCTCTCACAGTGGAAATGCACCTACGATGAAAATTTCAGACCCATCCGTGATTTCTAAGTGGGAGAACTTGCAAATAACAAGGTATTCAAATACTTGAACACCCAGCAGAATGAATGATTCTGCAACGTTCTTACTCCTAGAACTGAAATGTTCTTTAATTGCTTGCAAGGTCTTCCTATTTGAGGCTAAAAACATATAATTTTGGTTCCATCATACCATAGGACACTGTGCTGCGTTTGTAGTGATAGAGTCTTCCTCATAGCTCTCTGTTTATTCTGACGCTGTGCCACCAGCACCTTCAGAAGGTCTTTTGTTTTGGTTCTAGGGTTGTTGTTAAATATTTGGACCAAAACATGTTAATCTGCTGGACATTTCACTCTAGAACAGTTTAGGCTACGTTCACACTGATGCTCAATTCAGATTTTTCTGTGAAATCCGATTTTTTTGCATTGCCGTTCACATTTCCAAATATACGCGACTTGTATGTGATCTCCTGTGTGAACTGCAGTCATACAACGCAAGTGTCCCACATGCAAAGTAGAGGACACAATGACGTCACAGGCCAGCGTGCTCTCTGTTTACGGAAGTAAACATGGATGGTAGTGCTGGCGCGCATCTAGCAATCTTTCCCAAACTTAAAAACACAATATTTTCAAGATGGTTAAACATAAATACTGCTCTCCGCATCATCGTCCGCCATGTTGTTGTTTTTCTTGCCGCTTCTAGAATAGTGACCTTTGTCGGGTATAAATGGCGTTCAGGTCAGATGAATGTGACCTGATCGTTCAGACACAGGTCGCATTTGAAAAGATCAGATTCGTATCGGATTAAGGACCACATAACCAAGTGGTCTGGGTCGTATTGGAAAAAAATCAAAACTGTGTTGTTCAGACAGCCATGAAAAGATCAAATACAGGCTGCATATGCGCCAAAAAATTTGGATTTGGGTCACTTCAGGCTGCAGTGTGAACGTAGCCTTAGTGGCTGAACACCCCGTCCCCTTATAGGCGCTAACTGAAATGTTATGATCAACCAATCAGACGCCTGCAAAGCCATGTCAGGGTAACAACAAATCGTTGAAAAATTTACGGATCTTGCAAATGTATAATTGGGGAAAAACAACTTATTAAAAAAATATATAGAAAAACCACTGTTCTGAACATTTTGCAAAACAAATAATTAACGTAGTTATTAATCCAACAGGAAATGTTTCACATGATTTATCAAGTAAATAAATAGCTTTAACTGCAAATATTTGGGTCTAAATGAGAAAAAACACAAAATATTTACACAAAATATGTCAACAAAAAACGAGCTAAGTCAATAATCTCTTGTTGTTAAAGACAGCTGCTTTGAATGAAGCTACATTCACCTCTTTTGCTCTTTGGAAACTTCTTCCTCAGTTTGTTTTTCAGAGGTAAAATCTTTGGAAGGATATCAGGAACGGCTACGTAGAAGTCGGCTGAAATCTCATCATCCAGAATCTGTACAAGAGAAACGACAGATCACTGAAACATGTCTTTTATCACAACATGTGATAAAAGACAAACAGCTGCTCATAATAAAAAGGCAAAACTGTTCTCTACAAATCAGTGCAAAGAATTTTTTAAATTTTTTTTATTGACCTACCGGCTGAATGAGCTCAACGCCTCCAACAAAAGCTGCTCCGTTCTCCTGAGCAACTTTCGCCTGAGTAGAATCCTGAAGAAACAGACTCATTAGACCTCAGAGGAGTTATTCTTTCATGAAGTTAACGGGCTCATCTCGGTTGTAAACCTTTATCACTGACCGAGAACATAGACTAAAATCTGCATCTTATAAAATAAAAGCCCCAAGCGAAATAAAATTAAATTAAGGAAATAAGTGCCTGTAAAAAAGAACATTAAATGAAGCATGAGAGGAAGGCGAGAGACTTGACATGTAAAAGCCTTTTACCTCAGTGAAAACCAAAACTTTGTTCATCTCTGTCCCGAAGGGGTGCGGCAAGTGCACGGTGCTGACGAAGGGGTCAATCTTTTTCTGTGAAGAACAGAAGCATTCGTTTGTTGTGGTTATGAACAGTCGGAATATTAACCTGACAACAGCCAGATGCATGTCTCGCTCCGCCTAGCTCCACTCACATAGCAGGAAGATAAAAGATTTGGCGGGAAAGCAGCAGAAAAAAGGCAGATGTCAGCGCTTTAAATCTTCATCTCTCTGGAGTCCCCCTAATTAATTATGTATGGGAACATTAGTTCTGTTGAAACGGATGAGGGGAAGACCAAGCGGGTCCTCTGTGGACCGGCTGCAGTCCTGTGATGAAGAGACAAACTTCTGAGGGTTTTATTCCTCTGTGTTCTTAGCCGAGCAGCCAACCTGCTCACATTACAGTGATCGATGTCTCATCTGTGTGACTCGGATTAGCGGTGGTGAAGTGTGACAGTGGAAGCAAGCAGAGGACATAAATCCTAACAAACATACCAAGTGTGACTGCTTAAAATAGCATTTCACAGCATCTTAATGAGTACTGATCAGGGTCCTGAGATGTCCAACAGGACGATGTTGTAAAGTGTTTTATTGAGCTTTAATGTTATGAAAATAAACACAAAAATGGTAACTAATAATATGAAACCAAACAAAAAACGAGAGTAAATGATGATGATTGTAAACCATGAAGAAGAAAAACAGACTTATGTTAAAGATACTGTTGCTAGTTTGTCTTTGTAAACGACTGGCTGCTAAATTTTAAATTGGAAACTGCAAGAATCTTTGGAATCAATTATTATATTCATTTTAAAAGGATGATTTAGTGTTAATTTTGATTAGGGAAATTTCCCAGGAAGACCATAAGGCAGTTTCTACAGGTGGAAGCCTGAATCACTTTTAGAGGTCATTGAAATGAATGTAGTTCGATCAGACCGTTAAACTCAAGGCATTTAGTCCTCTAGTTAAAAATCACAAAGATCAGAATATCAGAGACCAACTCAAAATGCAAAACTGCATAATGGAAAAAAAAAAGTGCATTCATCCTCACCAATTTCTTAAGAAAATAATTAAGTGATTATCAGTTTTCTGCTCTGCAAGGATGCAGACTATTGATGCATTTTATTGTTTTAATCTTCATTTTCTATAAAATAATCTTAAAAAGAAAAAACAAAAACTGGCATGGTTGAGGAAATCCTGGGAAACTTTACTCAAATGTGAAATAAGCACTCAATTATGGGATAAAATCCTGCTCCTGCCATCTAAAATCTCTTGTTTGTAACAGATTTCAAGAAATGCAGTATAACATTTTGCATAATGTATATATTTATCCTTATATTTTTAGCAAGTACAATGTGAGAACTTCTCCAGATTGCCCCAAATGTAAAATTTCTGTGGGCACCAAGTTTCAGTGTTTGTGGGAATGTGATGTTATTCAGTCATTTTTGGAAAGATGTATGTGCCAGAATCCGTAGAGCTATTGGTCAAAGTGTGTCAGAAAACCCACTGATGTGTTTGTTGGGACATATTCCTAAGCCACTAGTAAAACATGAGCATGTGATAAAGTCACTTTTAATGTTAGCAAGGAAGGCCATTATGGTGAAATGGGTGGGCAGGAAACCCCCCTCCATTTATTTGTGGAAATCACTAATATTTGATATTATGACTTTGATTAGACTTGGACATTACATAGATGGAAGTCTTCAATTCTTCACAAATATCTGGAGGAAGCCACTGGAAACACTGGGAGTGGAATATAAAATGGACTCTGATTGGACAATCACTGTGGACATAGAACTCATGGACGGACTCTTGTATATACATGTGAGATGTAGTGCTGATATTGTTTTTGACCAGTCTTCTACGAAGTTTGTATGTTTGGGAGAAATAAAAAAAAAGTAAAAAAAAAAAAGAAAGAAATGTCAAGCAAAGCAAATTGTTTTTTTTTTTAATTTATCAAGCAGGTTTCTGCATTTTATCTTAGGGCTGAAATTATTTATTTTACAAACTGTGATTAAACAATAATTGAACTAACCGTCAACTAATGTAGTAAATTAATAATTGATCATTGGAGTATACGGCCTGTAAAACATTTCGTTTGCTAAAGAAAGACAAAAAATAATAAAATTAAAACAAAAACTGTACCAAAAATATTAACATTCTGCATTAAAGAGGTGAAACTTGCTCTGGCCAAAAGAAGTTTCTCCTTCACAAAAAAATTCTATTAAGCAACATTAGTTTTATAATTATTAACAGCTTAATTAAAAAAAATGATCAGGTTGATCAATTTGCAGCTCAATCATTATTCGCAGCCCAACTCAGGAGGATATCTGTGGATTCAGGAAGTCTATCCCTGAATCGTCTGATGTTTTAGAGCTCAAATCTTTTACTGAAATAGCTCCGACTCAGCCAACCCATCCTGAAGCTTACACATGGGACCACTGTCCCTGGTCAGATCTAGATCAGTGACGAGTATGCATACAGACAGAAGGTGAAGTGGCTGATCTTTGGTGCCCTAAGAACCACCTGTAGCCCAATCTAGTCAATAACTTCTAATAAAAAACCCTCAAAGACTGTGTCTGTTGTGGATCACATCTGGTTCCTCTGAAGCCCCATTCCTTGGGACCCGAGTTGATTCTTACACATCATTCCTGTTTATATAAAGGCCCAGCAGAGCTGTCATTCAGTCCATCCATCACTGTCAAGAAAACCGGACAGGTGCAGAGAACAATAAAATTAGGTCTGCAGAGTGGATCATCAAGGCTGATCCTTCCCTCCAACCTGGACAGACACAGGTCTACAGTAAAGAAAATGATCCCACACATTCTGGACACAAACTGGTTACAGGTTCATAGAAAACTCTGCCACAGTGACGTCACACTGATAGACAGGAAACAATTAATCACAGCGACTAAATGTAATTCAATAAGCTGCTGGAATTAAAATCTGTTTACACTAATAAAGAAAAACATGTATTGCACTGTTAATGTAAGATTAGCTGTTGCTTAGATTGTATAAAACCCCTCTTCGCTTTCAGAGCACTTTTGAACTAAACTACCTTTTTCTCCAGCTTCATGTCCAGCCTTAGGTCGATGTAGACAGGTTGATTGACAGGAGTAAAGTCCAGCTTCTGGAATCTCTTCAGCATTTCGATGCTGTCGGCTGCGCTGTGGATGGTTCTGGGATAAAACCTCTTAACGTAGACGTCATCCACAGGCACCCATGCAGTCTTGCCGTATGGCTTGTGTCTGTCTTTGTCATCGATAATTCTCTTCTCTTTCTTCTCTTCCGTCTTTGCATTGTCCTTTTTGTCTTTCTTTAGGGCCCTGGTGGTTAACATGGAGAGATTTTAGTCTTGATGTGTAAAAGGATGAAGCTGAAAAGCCACCAGTAGGTGGTTAGGCTCAGAGCATTTTTTTCTTATATTAAAGAGATGCTAGCTTACTTGACAGCTGCAAAGGTCCGGATGGGTAGATTCCTCTGTGCTGGCTGTAATACAGCCGTATACGTAGGACCGCCAGCACTCAGCAGCTGCTTCTGACATCCTGACAAAACTAAACATGAAAGAAAAATAAACAGAAACTATCAGACAACTGTTACCTAAGCCTGATATTCACTGCTTTAGGACTGAGGGTTGTAACATAAAGCTGACAGCTGTAGTTGGGGTATATTTTTAATCAATCAAGTGAATCAGAAGGTGTTTTAAGTTTCATTTAAAATAAGCAAAGAAGCTCTCAGAGTATATTTGACTGTAATAATCATTTCTAAGAAGCTTAATAAATTATTTCTGATTTACAATTTCAAACAAAACATTTGAAAAAAAAAAAAAACAGAACAGTTTCCAAATTTCTGGGCAATGTGGACATATTACATTGTCTACTAGCAGAAACAAGAGAAAGGATTTGGATCACTTCATTTTTTTTTTTTTTTTTGATATACCTATTTGCATTTAATAAAATCAATTAAAGGCAGAATTGGTTACATCTGGGTCTGTTTTTGCATTGAATTAGCTGAATTTTTTGGTCCCATTTAAAAATGGTAAAGCAAAAAAATATTTAGTCATCTCTCTATCCAAGAAATCATCAATATTTACATCCCTATATAGCATGATTAAAATCACACGTTGAAGACAGCGAGTTTGGAGAAAGGAGGAGAAAATCTGCCCAGAGGATAGAGAGACAGTCAGAGAGGTACCACAATGTGACGAAGAGCAATTTAAATGCATATAATGCACATCTCCACACATTTAACAATTCAGAATAACAAAACACGTTTATACAGAAAGGTTAAAGGGAAGAAATGCTGCACATATGTCAGTTAACATTACAGGTCCAACCTCGATCGTGTTTTCCTATCAAAACCCGAAACATTCTAAAAGTTTAGTCTCTCTAATGGGTCGACGAAATAAAAATACATTTAATAACAAACAGTAACATTATAAAACTAAAACATGCCCAGAAAAAAAGAAAAAAAAGAAAGTGAATTAAAATAAATAACTGACCTTTCCAAACAGTGCGCGTGCAGGTTGCCATATCTGCTGCTGCTGGTCCGTGTGGAAACAAACCATGGCACTATGGTTCCACTTTTCACCAGGGGTTGGATCTGGACAATAAATAATAATAACGCAAAATAATAATAATAATAATTAAAATATATGTGTCTATATTTTTTTTCCTTAGACAGCTGTTATTGTCATTTTGTATTCACAGTTAATGATATATTAATGACTTTATGGAAGAAATGTACTACAGTAGCCTACCTTTTATTAAAAAGCTATAATAAAAATCCGCAGTGAATTATTGTGCTCTGATGCTGGAGTTCTTAAAAGAACTCAGCTTCAAACTTATTTGATTGAGCTTTCTTACCTCCTGGTGAAGTGAAGTTACTCAGTTTCTGATAATTGGGTTTATGTTGTTTGTTTTTTAATAACAGTCACATTATTTTACAAAAAGTATGTTTTTCTTTGGACAAGGGCAAAAACATTCTGTTGTATAAAGAAAGAAACTGATGTGGGTAGGGCAAAATAATAATACATTTGGTTTTACGGGGAATGTTGCGTAACACCGGAGGCGCGCGGTTTTACGTATGACGAGCACGACCGGAAGCCGCCTTTGTTGTTCTTCCTTCTGTTTCCGAGACGTTCAGGGTCTACACGGGTTCAAGAGGGGCGTCTGCATGTCGCTGCCAATTCTCCCTATAAACCGTCGTCTACCGCCTCCGAATGAAGGTAAAGTTCCGCTTCAGTTCGGGTTTTGTCGGAACAGATCCACGCGGCTCGGTTCCGAAGCAGATTTAACCCTTTAATTCGTCCCCTCCGCTCGGGGCAGATCGTGTCCCCGGGCAGTGAGCCCCCAGTCAGCCCGGGTGTCGCGAGCCAAGCCACCGATAGCCAAAGCAATCCAGCCCCCTGCTCTGGAGGCGCTGAAGCCGCTGCGTTGCTGTTTTATCGCTGTTTGGATTCTAGTGTTGTTCCTATTTCTGTTTGATCTGATTTATTTCCGTCGCTTCGCTTCGGTGACAGCTGGAGGAGCGAACTCCTCCTGAACGGACGGGCCCGATCAGCTACTTTCCACAACAGCAGCTGTTTGGAGACTCGTCCTTCAGCTGTCGCTGCAGTTGGCATTGCTACATTTTTCCTCTTAAAAAAAACCCTCCTTGTGAAAATAAATACATTTAAAAATACTGTTCTCTGATCTTAAGTCGACAAATACTAGGTTTACAGGTTAAAAAAAAAGACAGTTTATGGTAAATTTTCTCAAAATCTATCACAGTAAGTGACCTGTGAAAGTGTGTTTTGGGTTAGTTGTGATATGAACAGTTTAAGCCATAAATCATCCTTCAGTGGCTCCTTGCTAGTGACACAGTAATGTGTAAACAGGTTATGCAATTATTTTCCAAACTTGTTCACCTCGGTCAGCCTGACGTCTGCTGCTGCTGCTGCTGCGTGAAGTTCTGCAGCTCTTCTAAAGTTACTCTGCATGCTCTTCCAGGTGTGTTACAGTACATGTCTCAGCACAGCCAAGACTTTTTTTTTTATCACTGATTTTATGTAAACAACTCATTAAACTTAAGCTTGGAAAATATTTACTGTAAAGAGATTCGGTTTCTTTTGTTTCTAAGGTTGTTTTTTTTTCCCTGAGAAACAAGTGGTGATCATTAACTTTTCCCTCAAACTCCACATTATCAATACCTGTTGAAATAAACTCTGATCACTGAGATGTTTGCAGAAAGGAACTAGGTATTATTTCTGTCATGCTGCCGTAGAGGTAGAGAGGTCTGACCTTCCCTTCTTTTGTTTTGCTTTTTTCAACTTCCCTCTATAGTTATTCAATCAAGTCAAAGTTTGGACTTTGGCTGGTTCTTTGCAACACCTTTTTTTCCCCCCTCCTTTTCAGCTGTTTGGGTTGTAGATTGGCTGCTGCGTTTGGGATCATTGACATGTTTTGGCTATCAGGCAGAAGAAAGCCCCACGTTTGACTCTAGAATCCTTTGGTATGCAGGAGAGTTCATGTTTCTCACCCTTACTGTTCATTTCCAGTGGCCGTGAAACAATCATTTCACTATTTAAAGATTTTTAAAGTGTTTTGCACTCCAGCCTTAAGGTGAAATGCGTGGATGCCCACTCTCTGTTAGATTGGTATCTATTTGATAGATTTACTGGCCTTTAAGACCTTATAGCTCTGATTTAGAGGCAGAAACAATTGCTTCTGGGTGTCCATTAGTGCTGGAACGGTATGAATAACTCACAGTTCGGTAAGCACCTCAGTATGGACCCTACGGCTCGGTACATTTCTGGTACAGTGCAGAAAAAAAAACACGACCAAAAGGCTATCCTCAAAGGCCACTTTTTATTATTTAAATTCCCAGCTGAGATAGCTGCAACTTTCTTTAAACTCTAGTGAACAAGCACCATATTGTCAAATATTGATATACATGAAAGGAGTATCTTTATAAGTGCATCAGTGCCACACATGGCCTTTCTGGGTATTCTCTCTTGCAACAACACAACCCAACAGCAGTGCATTCCCACAGAGTGCAGTTTGTATTTTAAGGTGGGTTTTACTATCTAGACCAGTGGTCTCCAACCCTGGTCCTCAGGATCTACTGTCCTACAGATTTTAGATGCATCCCTGCTTCAACACAGCTGAATCAAATTAATGGCTTGAAAAGGTAATCAATCATTTGATTCAGCTGTGTTGAAGCAGGGATGCATCTAAAATCTGTAGGACAGTAGATCTTGAGGACCAGGGTTGGAGACCACTGATCTAGACCAATCCAGGCATGTCTATATCAGAGCTTGCAGTTGGTAGTGGTTAAATGGGTTCTGAAGGAAACTTGCAAAATAACAGTTCTGCATCCAGATCGATATTAAACTTCCGTACCGTGTGTATTCTGCGTGGCAATGCATACTAATACATATGCCGTGCAACGTCATTATTTTTTCTCCTTTTAGACTTTTCTGGCCAGCCACGCTGTGGTGTATTTTGATGCGTGTGACGGACCATGAATATCATGTTTTTCTTGAATGATGGCGACTTCTTCTTGACCACTGTTTGAAGAAGGTGTCTTCCAGAAACTGGCAGTAGGTCTGGGAGTTGATCTTGACTCCATCATCAACCTGAAAAGCTCATCTTTGATGATACCAGCCCATACCATTACCCCACCTCCACCTTGCTGGCGTCTGAGTCGATAAGGAACCTTCTGCCCTTTACTGATCCAGCCTGGTGCTCATCCATCAAGACTCATTCTCATTTCATCAGACCAAAAAACCTTGGAGAAATCAGTCTTCAGATATTTCTTGACCCAATTCTTGACGTTTTGTCTTGTGTGACTTGTTCAAAGGTGGCCTTTTTTTGGCTTTCCTCACCTTAGCCAGGTCCCTGAGTATTGAGCACCTTCTGCTTCTCGGCGCTCCAGACATGTTGCAGCATATATGGCACAACTGGTGGCTAATGGCTTCCTGGCAGCTTCACACTTGATCCTTCTCAATTCATGGGGAGTTATTTTGTGTCTACTTTTTTCAACACGCTTCTTGCACCGCTGTTGGCTGTTTGCCATGAACCGCTTGATTGTGCGACGATCCCGCTTCAAAACCTTTGCGATTTCCAAACTGCTGCACCCCTCTGAAAAACATCTGACAATTTTTGACTTTTCAGAGTCTGTAAAATCTCTTTTCTGACCCATTTTGCCAAAGGAAAGGAAGTTGCCTAATATTTAAGCACACCATATATACTGTTGGGGGTTGATGTCATTAGGCCACACCCCTTCTCATTACAGCGATGCACACCACCTGATTTACTTAATTGGTAGTAGCCATTCAAGCCTTTACGGCTTGGAGTAGGACAACATGTATGAAAAGGATGATGTGGTCGAAATACTAATTTGCCTAATAATTCTGCATACAGTGTATACCTGTATAACATAATGTTAACATGAAAGGAAAAAAAAAAAAGACTAGATTTAATTTTAAATCCAAAGCCAAAAAAATTAGCGTAGCATCCCGATTTCCGGCACAGATGGGAACAGACATGTAATAAAACAGAAAGAATCTTAATGCATTTATTTTCGCAGCAAATACATGATTAAACTTTAACAAATTATAGTTTTACTATGTGTACTATTTATAATTAGGGAAAAACGTAATTTAGGTCTTTTTTACAAGTTAAAATCGAGGGCTACCCGGATGTATATCTGGTTGTGCAAATTGCACAATTAATGTTTTGTCTGATTTGTTAATAAATGTTTCCTTTTTGATATCTTTGAAACATTTGTTATCAATGTATACATTTTTTCCCCCAGGATTAGAACGGAACGTCGGGGATATGCAGGACTGTTTAAATGAATGTGTATCGACGTCGGCTTTAAAAGAAAAAAACTATCAGTTGATCTCTACACAAAACTAATGATGTGCTTCAATTTATTTACCGCATGTGGGGAAAAAAAAATTTGCTTAGACCCCCGCCCCCAATCCCAGGGTGGAAGCCACCCTTTTTACTCCTATAGTCCTGATCCTGGTAACCTCACCCTTAGCTTGAGCCCCCTCCAGGGCCTCCTGGAGGTCCGGTTCTGATGCAAGCAGAACCAGGTCCTCTGCAAAAGGCAGCAATATCATCTGGAGCTCCTGAACTGGGGGACCTCCACTTGGGGCTGCTCACAGAAATCCATCAAAGGTTACTGGAAACGGGTCTGATGAAACCCCAGGAAAGTACAGAGTTCTTGATCCTTTGTACAGGCTTCTCAGTGGGGGGGATCGGGGGGGTGAAGTACCCCCAACAGAGGAAACCATGAGAGATTATAAGTTTTCTCCACACAAACACACAAAAAAAGAAATCAAACCATCAGCTCTGGTAATCAGATTTCAACTTTTCTAAGAAACTTGTTTTTTTTTTTCTCTATTTTTGGAAAAATAATCAAAATAAAACAATGAAATATGGTTTGAAACATGAAACAGGATTGTATCTTAGTTTCTCTAAAGAAGGTTTTTTCTTCTTTTCTTTTTTAACCATCTGCTAAAAAAAAGCATTCCGGACGATCGTGTTTTATTTCCTAAAGTTCTTCCCCGGTTATCCACCTGGTCATTAATCAAAATAAGTTTACGTCCCTTAATATTATTCTGTTTTTGGTGTAATCAATAAAAAAAAACTTGCTAAACTGATGAGAGAAGCGCTTTAGAAGAGGATATGGAGTTAAAGCAGCTTTTATCAGCAGAAAGGCAGGAGGTGGCCTCGGAAAGCAGCTGTTTAAAATTACATTTCCACCCTTATGATGCGTGATCCAGTTTAAGAGGTATTATGGCTCATCATGTGTTACTGGAAAAAACAAAACGTTGCAATAACAAAGAAGCGGCAGATTTTTTTTTTCCCAACTGCTTATTTTCATGTCTTTCCTGAGATCCATTTATAAAAACAAAAAACTACCTGCTGTTATTTTTTCCCCCCTCTCTCTTTATATAAACTATATTCCATGTTTTTGTGTTTTTTTCAGATTAACAGGTATGCCAAAGGAAAAATATGATCCTCCAGATCCCCGCAGATGTTACACCATCATGTCAGCCGAGGAGGCGGCTAGTGGGAAGAAGTCTCACTGGAACGAGCTCGAGATAACTGGTCAGTCCTACCGACTCCTGCTGGTTCTGCTTCCAGTTAACAAATAAATCCCTAAAGATGTTGAGTCCCAAATGTACAGTTAAAGAAAATGACTCTTGAGGATTTTTTACCTGTCAGGTAAAAGACTCTTCTGGTTGAACCCAAACCACAGAAGAAGTCCGGTTGCCTTCTACTCAAGCGCTTTGATATTTATGCTCTGAAAAGAAAAGTGCAGACAGAGAGTATGTTAGACGTCAGGTTGCCAAAAACTAGGACCAAATGTACCGGTGTTCTGTCCGATCAGCATACCCCGTCAGACCAGCATACCCATAATCAATACCCGATTATCAGGGGCGGATTAAGAAATTTTGGCCCCCTGGGCCTGACATGGTCTTGGCCCCTCAACCCCCCGCGCGTGCGGGCGCACACACACGCACGCACTATGCAAGAAATACTGTATACTGTGAACAGACATGCACACTGTCCTGTACAGAAGAGTGCACATACTGCACACACACTATTAGGTATACCACACAGACACTGACAAGCACAGGTTTCACACAGACACAGGGGGAGGGGATAAATGGCCTAAAAATAAACATTTTGGAAAATGATTATGCCCACTTCAGTGATGGTGCATTGGGTCATTTGAGAGATATTATGTATTGGAAGTTGGTAGCTATCATGAAATAAACCCCCCACCCCACCCAAAAAACTAAATCGGACATGATTTTTGCCACCTTTTCCTCCCTTCTATCATTAAAAATAAAATAATATCTTAGGAAAACACTTTGGCATAACGGCAGCTGTGCAGCAAATTGAGGCTCAAAGTCTGTATCTATTTGTGGTTAAGCTTGAGGAGAAGGAGAAAGGTAAAATGATAACATGCATCGGAGAGCACCACAAAGAAAGGTGTAGGCCAGTTCATGGTACAAGGGCTGCATGCAGGTCAAGATAGCCCATTTCCAAGAATGCTATAGTGGCTGGACAGGCACTGGACATGTCCTGAACTCAGTGTCAGACGTGGCTGCCGAATACTTGGATGAAGTGAAGCAGCTGACAGATCTCATGCTGCCCCATCTGAAGACTGTCCTGGCAGAGGATGGATGAGGAGACCTTCCCAATGGACCCTGTCAGTGAACAGGCTAGTAACATTGATGGCACCCCTGTGCACAATATTGGGATGGAGAGACAATGTGGCAAGGTGGACTACAAACTGAAGAAGTTGGGCACACTGAACGCAGTCAATAGGTCAATAATTTTACAGAAGTGCCAGGAGCTTCAGAGGTTTCAAGGCAGCAGCACAAGCAAAAAGGGAGGTTGAACTCAACTGGAGTAAATTCATGAAGGCAAAATTCAAGAGTAGGGCAGATGAGAAACGAGATGGCTCAAAGAAAGGAGAGTAAGAGACTAGACATGCTGGACACACTGAAATCTTTTGATGGCCCCTTCACGATAGTGGGGAAGTTGAAAAGTTCCTTGTGGATGAAAGTCTGCACAAGAATGCAAAGCTGTAGAGAATGAAGCTTGAGGTTCAGTTTGCCAGAGAAAGCACCAAGCTTCTGCCTAAAGTCAATCCTATCTTCACAATCCAGGTGACACTTCCCAGAAATGGCGAAAGTGCAATTCTCCAAGTCATAATGGATACTTAGAATTTTATGGTGGTGGTAAGTATTCATGAAAACAGGTAGCCTAACATTAGTGAATGGGCGAATTCTGGTAATAACCTAAAAATCTTACACAGTGCACCTTTAAGCAAGGGGTTTCTTTCGTGCTTTCAATTTTGCAAAATCATCCACCACATCATTGAAGTCCAACTCTCTTGTCAGCTCACTCTCAATTGCCATTAGAGATAACGCATTTAATCTTTTCTGAGTCATTCTTGTGCGCAGCTCATTTTTTACTCTTGACAGAAGAGAGAATGAGCGTTCTCCCTCACAGTTACTGACCGGTAGAGTGAGAAAAATCTGTAGCGCAATGTATGTATTAGGAAACGTAGGCTGTAGTCCAAAATGTATTATTGTTTTGAGCAGTCCTGAAGGGGTCCTCTCCTCATCAGTGTTGTTGAGCTGTATAAAAGATTTGAACTGTATAAGCTCCTGTCCAAGACTTTCATTGAGGTCAGATGGGTATGATTCAGTGAGAATCTTGGCCTTGTGAAGGACTGAAGCATTGGACTCTGTATCCAAAGAGAAAAGGAAACTGAACAAATTGTTCAGATGTTTGTAGGCCTCCAGACGGTGATTAAGGCTTGAACTCAGTTGATCAATAGAGGCAATAAATGTCTCTATTTGAAACAGTTGCCTTCCCTCAAGCACAACATCTGGGGATGCTGATTCATCAGCAAACTTTTTACGTTTCCTCGTCCGTTCAGCCCTGTAAGATGGGGTGCCACCCAACATGTTTAAGGCTTTCTGCTCAAAATGATCAAATAGATCTCTTTGGGAGAGAACAAAGGTGCGCAGAGATTCCAGCAATCTAACTGCTGTACCAAGGTCCATGTCTGCTTTTTGAAGTTGCAGACTTGTGGCCTGAAATCTGGACAGAACAGTGTCCCAAAAGCCTGCCATGAAGGCCATCTCAAGTGAATCCAGCTTCCGCACTAGACTGTCAGCTTCAGTTCGTGTGTCTCGTTTCTCTGTGTCATCAGTGGAAATAACCTGTAGTGCTGCTTTTATTTTACTGTAGTTCTGCCACAGTGCTTTGGTAGCTTCTGCACAGCAACTCCAACGCGTGTTGGATAAAGCTTTAAGTGTGAGATCTATGTTGGAATTGCCAAATACCCTGTCCCATCGGTGTGTGGATGCAGTTGTGAAGTTGTAAATAGACTGAATCAAGTCAAAATACTTAGAGACTTCATTTCCACATCTGTCAATGCTGTTGACTCCCACCAAATTCAAAGAGTGAGCTGCACATGGAATATAGTGTATTAATGGGTTGCTTTTCTTTAAGTGAGCCTGCAACCCATTATACCTCCCTGACATGTTGCTGGCATTATCATAAGCCTACCCCCTGCAATTTGACAGCTCTAACCCTAGATTTTCCAACACAGACATGACACAGTTAGCCAAACTTTCACCTGTATGGCTAGTAATGGGCTCAAAACCCACAAAGCGTTCAACAACACTGCCCTCTTTGCTAACAAAACGGAATATGAATGTCAATTGGTCCACATGAGATAAATCTGGGGTTGAATCCACAATGATAGAGTAGTATTTGCTTGCTTGCAGTTCATCTGCTATAGCCTGTTTGGTTTTTGCACCAATCAATTCAATGAATTCCTCACAAATGGTGGAGGACAGATATGAGGTATTACCTCGACCCATCTGCCCAAACTTTCTGATGTGATCCTTTAGAAAGGGATCAAATTCAGCCAGGACCTCCAGAATACCAAGGTAGTTCCCATTGAGAGGAGACCCTAACGATTCATTTTTACCCCTAAATGCAAGGCCCCTTTCTGCAAGGAATTTAATGACTGCAACAACTCTTTGTAACACCTGCCTCCAATAGCTGCTCTCTGCCTGAAACTGTTTGAACAGGTCTGCATCAACTGTGGCACCTTTGGCGCGGTTCAAGACTGCTTGCATGCAGGTTATGTGCTCAGCACTTCGCTCATGTTCACCAAATCTTTCTGAGTGTTTCCAATCACAATAGCCTGTCACAAAAGAATGCGTTTTTGGGGAAAACAGTTTGCATGCAAAGCAGTAAACATTACCAGTAGAGGGAGAGTACATCAGCCACTCTCTTTGTACTCGTTGTCCATTGGGCAAGTGTGAAGTAAAATGTTCATTGTTTAGGCATCGGGTTTTGCCTCCTAGCCCACTGTTCCTCACAGAAGCTGGATAATGGCTGTGACGGTTGTGAAATGATTTTGCACCTCTTTGAATAAGAACTTCCTTCATTGACTCAGTGAGGGTCTCAGCCCATTTAGCGGGATCACTAGGTAGAGTTGTCACTGTAGATGGTGTTGAAGAAAGATTCAGCTCATTTTCTATGCTGTCCAGAGGTGCAGTGACCTCACATTCATCCGACCAACTGGCTACTGCTGAATTGGTTGAATCATAAGCATCAGAAGCATTTGGTTCAGTGTCTACAATTGTAGTGGTCTCAGGATCTTGGGAGCTACATGCTAGCTCAGGTGCATTGCTAACCTTAGCTGAATTTGCAGTAGCATTTATAGAATTGCTTTCAGCAGATGTCTTTGTACTGAAGAAGCTGGAGATATTTGGAACACTCAAGTAAAACTGATTCCTTTTTTTTCTTTTCTTGCTGAATTTTTTTTCTAGCTCCTCCACTTAAACGTTTATGATCCATATTTCCCTTCTTTCTTTGCACATTGGCTCTTTGCCTATCACAACAGATAAACCAACTATGTGTGTGTGTGTGTGAGTTTGTTTGTGTGTTTATGATCGGTGCTGCTTCCTTCAAGTGTGTGAGGTGATTTAGAAAACTAGCAACCCAGCATCAACACTCTAAAGTGCAAAGTACCAAATGGCAAAATGTGGGAAGACCAACAGGCAGATCTGCTTTTACCACTTATCTTCACAACCAAAAAGTCGCTAAATGATGTTTTTAGTCGCTAGCCAGGTATGGCCAAAAGACACGAAATCTAGCGGCAAAGTCGGTCAATCACACTGACAGTGAAACAAATATTTTGAAAAGATAATAATTGTACAACTTTGTGCACTTTTGTCTTCTATCTAAATATTTTCACAAAGGACACCAAAATGTTGCTATCTGCAAGCAGCTTGCTAGCTATGATGGCAGCAACGATGTCTGCCAGACAGGAGAGAGTGGTCAGTGACGATCGAATCGAGAAAATTACAAAATGGGTCAAAGACCAAAAAGTTATTAACTGACAGCAGTGACAAATGTCAGACTGTAAACTTTTTCGAAAGAAAAGGACAAAATGGGAAGATGCTGATAGTAACAGCAAAATGGAAAATATAAGAATTTCCAAGTAATGCTCAACTCAAGTGTGTGTGTGTGTGTGTGTGTGTGTGTGTGTGTGTGTGTGTGTGTGTGTGTGTGTGTGTGTGTGTGTGTGTGTGTGTGTGTGTGCGCGCGTTAAACTTCTTGTTGAATGATTTCAAATTATCTCTGAGTCTGAACTGAGGGAAAGGAAACCAAATTTTGAGCAGTCTCTCACGAGTTCAAAATACCAAATGAGGAGATTCTAAAAGAACAGACCGGTTTATGAAAGACTCGATGGGGGAGGGGCACAGCTAAGAATACTTGAGTGAGATTCTGTGATCCAAATTCGAGAGAGCTTTTTGATAGTGATAATTTGTCAGAGTAAGGTTGTGTAATCAAAATTTGAGAATGAGCTTTGTCAATCAATCAAGAATATTTGCATTAAGTTCTGTGATCAAAATTCAGAAACAACCTTTAATAATTGATAAAGAATATGTGAGTGAGGTTGTGTGATCCATCCAATTTGAGAATTAGCTTTGATAATAATGATTGAGAGCCTCTGGCTCTCTGTGGATCATGGCCGCGGGGCCAATTTTGCCTGGCCCCTTGGGGCCTCTGTGGGTCGTGGCAGCGGGGCCAAGTTGGCCTGGCCCCTTGGGGCCTCTGACCCTCTATGGATCGGGGCCAAGTTGGCCTGACCCCTCGGAGCCTCTGGCCCTCTATGGATCATGGCCGCGGGGCCATGTTGGCCTGACCCCTTGGGGCCTCTTACCCTCTATGGATCATGGCCGCGGGGCCAAGTTGGCCTGACCCCTTAGGACCTCAGGCCCTCTGTGGGTCGTGGCCGCGGGGCCAAGTTGACCTGGCCCCTTGGGGCCTCTGGCCTTCTGTGGCTTGCGGCCGCGGGACCAAGTTGGCCTGGCCCTTTGGGGCCTCTGGCCTTCTGTGGGTCGCGGCCGCACGGCCAAGTTGGTCTGGCCCCTTGGGGCCTCTGACCGTCTATGGATCGTGGCCGCGGGGCCAAGTTGACCTGGCCCCCTGGGGCCTCTGACCCTCTATGGATCGTGGCCGCGGGGCCAAGTTGGCCTGGCCCCTTGGGGCCTCTGACCGTCTATGGATCATGGCCGCGGGGCCATGTTGGCCTGACCCCTTGGGGCCTCTTACCCTCTATGGATCATGGCCGCGGGGCCAAGTTGGCCTGACCCCTTAGGACCTCAGGCCCTCTGTGGGTCGTGGCCGTGGGGCCAAGTTGACCTGGCCCCTTGGGGCCTCTTACCCTCTATGAATCATGGCCCCTTGGGGCCTCTTACCCTCTATGGATCGTGGCCGCGGGGCCAAGTTGGCCTGGCCCCTCGGGGCCTAAGATTATTATTTTTGCAAAAGTAGTTTTGCTTGGGTCGCGGCCGCGGGGCCAAGTTGGCCTGGCCCCTTGGGGCCTCTGGCCCCCTGGGCCTGGGCCCGGTAGGCCCGGTCATTAGTCCACCTATGCCGATTATCCCTTTACTTTATGAAAAATGTTATACACTTTGATACACACGCATATACAGATCTGACATCTTGCTCATGCGTATTAATATGGGTATGCTGGTCTGACAGAACACCGGCTCTACTGTTGCTAGGTAAAGCATAAGGGAGATGCACCAATGACATCTGGGCCAATATCAATGCCCAATATTAATGATGAAGCAATATTTACTATTGATGCCTGAAAATGCTTCTGCATACATAAAAAAGATGGAAATAGAAACCGGTGATCGATAACGGTCCGGTTTTACTTATCAAACCGATCCATTAAAAAAATTTACCTACATTAATGAGGCTCTAGTAGGCGTTCCTAGCGAGAACCCACTGTCATGGTTTTCAGCTCTAGTGGTGAATTTAAAAGCAGATTTAAAAGATGTATTTTCTTTTACTTGTTTATGACATTTAATTGTGATTTTATTTACCTGGTTTGGTTTTCATACATTTTATTATTTAATCTTAATTCTTCTATATTATTATTATTTTTATTTTAAATTCTTCGTTGATCTTTTTGATCTAGTTTTTGGCCAGTATTTTAGATTTCATCATAAATCAAATCTAAATTTCCTTTTTATTGCTACTAATTGATTTCATATTTAAATATTATTTTTAATGTTAATTTTTTGTTGTTAGTTTCTTCTTTTCTGACTCCTGCTTCCTAATTTCCTGTACTAGTTTATGGCATTTTAATCTGGTAGTTTTTTTGTTTTTTGTCTTCTCTCTTTGTGTAAAATCTAATCATCTAAAAATGGCTCTATAAATCAAATCTGACTGACATAAAATTGGATGAGCACTGGTGGAGTGGAAACCTTTTATGAAAACCTGAGGAGCAGGGTGCACTACTTCCTAAACTATCTGTTTTTCTAATGCCTAAAAAAATCCATATAAAATCTTTTTACAACTAAATTTGTGTATAAAAACTTTTAGAAAAGTAATAAGTAACCGCCTGTGAATTTTTATGGGTTTTTGCTGGAGCAGTGAACGATTAGGGACCACATTCTGTTTGCTTGTACTTTTAAAATTCACAAACAAAAATTTAAATATTATAATGCTTATCTAAAATTATTGGGATTTTTGTGTCTGTTGGTCTATAAAATACAGAGCTATGAAAATAAATCATGGCAGAATTCAGTTCTTAAAAAAAATCCCTTTGCATTGATTCTCCATCCTGTTATTTCGGACTGCGTTGTTTTATTGTCGTCTGTTTGTGTCTCTCTGGAATCAGGGCGGGTGAGGAGTCTGAGCAGCTCATTATGGACCCTTACGCACCTGACGGCTCTCCACATCAACGACAACAACCTGAGCCGCATCCCGCCGGACATCGCCAAGCTGCCCAACCTGGTCTACCTGAACCTGTCGTCCAATAAGCTCCGCAGTCTGCCCGCCGAACTGGGCAACATGGTCTCTCTCAGGTAGGCTGCCCTGCAACATACACACTTTCAGAGTCCAGGAGACCAAACCTGACTGCTTTGATCCTGGAAAAGAGCTCAAACCTGTTGTCAGAAGTGCTGCTATGTCACCAACCCAGAGCTTAAATAAAAGTGAAAGTTATTATGCTATGTTCACGCCTAAATCAGCAGAAGCAGCTAGTTTACGTGCATAGTCAATGGTTGACGGCCATCTTGGCGCAGCAAAAGGTCCTGTTGCGCGTTATGAGCAGCAAGAGCAGCGCCTCATGAGCTACAGACCATCTGAGGCGTGGGATGCGCTGCGAAAGCAGCTGCTGCTGAAGTTGGAAAAATTGAACTTTTGCAGCTCGACGCACCACATCAACCAATCAGAGAAGTTGATCTCAGACAGAGAGACGAACTCTGTGCTGCTGATGCAGATCGCTGTGGCCACTCCTCTGAAACAGTTTAACGTCTAAATTAACTTAAAATCTCGAAATCAGCCAGGAAAATATGTTCACTTTTATTATCCTGGTGCCTGCAGTTTGGATTACGTACATGAAAAACACCTTACAGCTGCCTTGAACAATAGCTGAAAGCGGCGAAGAGGCGACCGGGCCGGAGGCTGCTGTTGAACGGGATTCCTAGTGACAGAGCACCCCCGGTGTACAGGGGGTCTGAGCGGCTCCGACAGAGAAATATCTAAAGGCAGGATCGTAATCTGGATGAACTGACTCCACAGATGAAGTTTTCAGGTGGACTTTCTCACTTAAAAACATTAAAACTACTTTTTACCCACTGATCACAGAAAATATAAAGAAAGGATAGGGTAACTCCGCCCAATGTGCATCAGACCCACTTTTCGACCAGGCAGCTAAAGCAGCAAAGATGTTTTAGCCGCGCATCAGAACTAAACTTGTACAAACATTAAAAATGAAGCAGCTTGCGGGTTTTTGCTGCTCCTGCTGCTTGCGGTGTGAACGTAGCATTACAGTGGTGGCAGAGAGCAGAATAAACAGACTGATGTTCACAGCCTCACCAGGATGGAACAACAGACTTAATGACATGGGGTCAGGAAAAGGGCAGCTAACCCCCAATTTACAATTACCTCCTAACTGATATTATATCCGCTCAGCTGCAGTGCAAAACCTGGGAGGGCTCCTAGGAGCATCCACAGAAACCAGACTACAACTCCTGTTGAAAGGGTTAAAACTGCTTCCCTTTTTTCTTTTTAGGAGTTAAATTCTAGAATCAGTGAGTATAATAAGTGCAGAGAAGCTATATTTGTTACATGTATCTGTTTGTTTAGTGTTAAGTCATTTTTATGATCTATGATAACATAAGCAGCCCTATAATTCATCTAACATGTGCTGCAAGGTTTAAAGCAATTAAAGGCTCTATAGTAAACTTTATTGAAAAAAATCTGGATGCTGTAATCATTTGGTTTCCTGTTGGAGCGATGTAATATCTGAATAATATTCTTCTGCAGTACCTTCCTAACAGAGCGCAGATTTATTTTGAAGAGCACCCGGAAGATCATTTTGCTTCAGACTGAAGTTTTCTGTTTGATGGAATCAGTAGATGGGTTTATTCATGTAAAAGCTTAAATAATTACTCATTGTATATATTTTTTTTTTCTCAAAGAAGATTTTGAGTTTTATAAATTCTCATGATCTCTTCAGGATGGATTAAAAGGAGAGGCTCTTTCTACAAAAATAAAAAAATTTATTTTTTTTCCCATCTTAAAAACGAACTAACTGAATCAAATGATTGCTGCTGCCAGTTAAGGTCAGGGACCAGGAGGTCCAGGTGACATGAAAGACAAAATGGATTCGACTAAGTGGAGAAATGATCCTTCCTTGTTGCAGATTTATTGCTCTTTAAATAGGATGGGTGTGAAAACTCGTTCTTGATCTACTAATTAAGGAAAAATGGGGAATTCATCACCCAGTGAAGCGTTCATCTAGAAAGTGTATGAATCATGCTAATGGCAGCAGCTGCTTGCATCATTTTTCTTATTCATTCAAATAACCCAAACATTTTTTCCTTTTAGCAGACGGTAGTTTTTTTTTTTTTGAAAGTTTAAAGTGATTTTCTTTTAAAGAAAAGCAGAAAAGCCCTGAAAATACAAACCTGGCTGACAGCTAAACAGATTAAAGTTGCTAAAAGTTTCATCTGTTCTTTGACTCGACTGAACATCAGTTTGTTTTGAACCTCAAATCGTTTATTTTGCATTTGTCCAAGGATTTCGATCTGAAACAATGTAAAAGAGCAGAACAAAAAAGCAAGGTTGGGACTCTGTAATCAAGCCGTCCTCCAAAGCAGCAGCGTGTGTTTATCTGGCCAGGCGTCAGACGGGCGTCACGCTTCAGGACAAAGACGATACGGAGCAGGAACAGACTGAAAGGCTCGACTGAAGACAAATGTTTATAGTGGATGTTTTCATCCCAGTAAAGCTGCATTGATTAGAAACTATCTCTGTGTGAAAGGAATACAAGCGCAGCGGAAATACTGATGCTTCTTCTCACTTTTGTTACAGGGAATTGCTTTTAAACAACAATCTTTTACGGGTTCTGCCTTATGAACTTGGTCGTCTTTTCCAGCTTCAAACTCTGGGACTAAAAGGTGAGGTTTCTTATTTCTCTCATGGATATTTCAGATTAAACATTTTAACCATTATTATCTATCAATTCATGCCTTGATTTAAGATGATAATTCTTTTAAGCTTCATGTCAGAGGTGGGATTTAGTTTGTATTCATTTCCAAGCTATTTTACGGCAGGAAATCCGTTATCCCAAGACATCCTGAATCTCTACCAGGAGCCAGACGGAACCAGAAAGCTTTTGAACTACATGCTCGACAATCTGGCAGGTAGGCAGCTCTGCAGCACGCACCGTCCACCTGGATCCCTTAATATGTAAACAGCACAAGCACTTTTATCTAGAACCCACCTTATGCAGGTGTTTTATACCCTACAATGTCCTCGTGTCTGCCACATATAAGCAAGCTCATTCCCCCCCCCCTTCTTGTTTGCAGTTCACCCGGAGCAGCTCCCACAAAGGCCGTGGATCACTCTGAAGGAGCGAGACCAAATGGTCCCTGCAGGTCAGTGTAGGAGCCAACAGCGAACCCCTTGAACCTGTTAAACTGAGTCTTCATTCAAGTTCTTAATTACTCTGCTGTCAATTGATCTACTTGGATAGAAATTATAAGACTGAAAACCAGCAACTAACGATTAATAATGCCTGAATTTATAACCAATTATTAAAAATGTAGGTATGATGCTAATTAAAACCAATTGGAACGTCAGATATGAGCATTTTTCATTGGGTAGTTTCAAATACAGGTTAATGCCTAAAAACCCTTACTATACCCTGTTTAATGATTTAAAAATAGTACTGTTATTTTATTATCGTTTTATCGTTAATTATTGTTCCTGATTTAAGTATATTTTGCCTCAGTGTTGCATAATAATACATACACAGAATTTAGGTTCTCTTGTTATACTCTAATTAAACATAATATGAATTAATGGTAGTACTACTCCTACTGCCTTATTCCTTAATTGCCTAAAATCACTAAAAAAGCTTCAAACCCAAAATCTAGAATTTCAGTAATACCTAATTTGTTTTGAAAGAGTCGAAAATCTACTTGTTCTTTTTTTTTGTTTTTTTGTTTTTTTACTAGATTTCATGCAGTCTATCAAAGGCAACCTTTCATTAAACGACTGTAGTTCACATTATGACCACTAGGTGGCACAAAAGCTCTATTAAGTATATAATAAAAAATATTTCTGGTTTTAAATGGCTTTAAAACTAAATTTGATGCACAAAAACACAACTTTAGAAGTTCTGGGTATACAACATGTCGACAAACCAAGAACTTATTTTATTCTAATGATGACATATTTATAATATTTGTACAGCTTTAGCTTAAATGCTGCTCTTAATGGGTTATTTCAGAGTGTGTATTGAGATTTTTCCAGTTGACAAGTAAAAAAAACACAATAAAACAGCATTAATCAGCTGCTAACGTCTGCTTGTTATGTCTTTTGCCTCCCCTGCAGCTGTGTTCACAGTCATGTGCTACAACGTTCTATGCGACAAGTACGCCACGCGGCAGCTGTACGGCTACTGTCCGTCCTGGGCCCTGAACTGGGAGTACCGAAAGAAAGGCATCATGGAGGAAATCACCAGCTGTGACGCAGACATCATCAGCCTGCAGGTGAAGCGAACGTTAATGTGTTTTTTTTGGTCAGTGGTGTTAGATCTGAGATAGGCTGCACATATTAAGACTGGAAGAAGATTTAATTCTATTTTAACACACATTTGATGGCTTTAAAAGTTTGAAACGGTTTATTTGCTCTATAGCTGTCCATTGGTCAAAGTGTACTCCTTCAGTCTACAGCTTGGCCTTTTAGCTCAGCTCCCCATTAAACCTGTTTGTTATAATTGATTGTGATTTTGGAGGCTTCAGGTTGGCAGGGATGTAACTAATGTTCCCTCTCAGGGAGCTGTGGATCAGTGGGCAATAAACCTGGAAAGAAACACCAACACTGTGGTTCCTAAGGCTCAACATGAGTCCAACTGGTTTAGTGAAAACTCTTCCTCTGTGTTTCAGGAGGTGGAGACCGAGCAGTACTACACACTGTTTCTGGAAACACTAAAGGATCGCGGCTACGACGGATACTTCTGCCCGAAATCCCGTGCCAAACTGGTTTCTGAACAGGAGCGAAAACACGTAGACGGCTGCGCTGTCTTCTTCAAGACCGAAAAGTGAGCTCAGGAACTTCAACTGTTTACCGCTTCACAGAAGGCGCCTGAAGGTTAACCAGACGCTACGCCATGTCTGCAGGTTTACTTTGGTCCAGAAACACACCGTGGAGTTCAACCAGGTGGCCATGGCTAACTCTGAGGGGTCAGAGGTCATGCTGAACAGAGTGATGACCAAGGACAATATCGGCGTGGCTGTTCTGCTGGAGGTCAACAAGGAAATGTTCTCCACCGGTAAGGAAGGACAATCTCTCCAAAATGAGCGAAATGTGTCTTTAGTGCGTTTGGGAAATATTAAACAGCTTCCAGGGAAGAATAGATCCCAGTAACGGACCGATACTGGAGTGCAGTGAGCGTAAGTGCCTGTTTTAACAGGTGCTTTTGGTGCGTTCTCCTCCTCAGACATCTTTACTTTGTTCAGATCTTTCCAGACGTGTTGTGGTAGAAAAAAAAGAACAAACTTGACACAGAAATCCATGTGCAGAAGCCTGCAGTACTCTGTATTTCCACAAGGTGTCACTAGGTAACTTAAATGACTGATGTTTAATCGGATGCTACAGGATTAGAGACCATCATCCCTGAGCCCATTAGATGCATTTGACTTGGATTTTATGGTATTAAGGGCTTCAGAGGACAGATTTGCTCCAGATTTTAGGACAAATTTTAATAGTTTCAGTCGTTGCTCGCAACCGCAACTCAAATTTTGCGAATCAGTTGCAGAGTTCAAAAGTTTCCAGCTTGCGATGTAGGTATTCACACTGCGACCTGATGCTCTGATGCGATCTGACAGCTCACACTGTACATCCTTAAAGAAAGGTCAGGGTCTTGAACAAACCCAACATGCCACGCAATAAACACAGGTAGAAGAAGAAGAATTGTTTTACGCATGCATAATGTTAAAAATGTCTGAGAAAAGAGCTCAGTCTGGTCGTATCACCGCTTCAAAAGCCATTCACTGACAGGCCAGGACCAAAACGCAACTCATGGGATCGGGAGCTCAACCGTCTCTCGTGACCCTCTTTTATGAAGCACGACACACCATTTGGCCAAGATTCGGCCATATCCCCAAACTTGTTGCATGGCTGGAACATCATCTGAAAAATTATCACGAGTCGGTTATTTTCCCTCTGTCTGTATAGGCAGAAAGTTTATAATGTGGTTTCACTCCAAAAAAACGGATCGAGAAGCAGTTCTTGATGTCCAATGATCTGATTTATTCCTGTTATTATTTTGTTCTTTCATCCTCTTTCTGTTTTCTCTTCTCTGAGGCATGAAGCCCCCCCAGGAGAGGCAGCTCCTCCTAGTGGCCAACGCCCACATGCACTGGGACCCCGAGTACTCGGACGTCAAGTTGATCCAAACCATGATGTTTCTGTCAGAGCTGAAGAGCATCGCCGAGAGAGCCTCGGGCTCCGTGACGACGGGCTCGCCGACCTCTGACCCATCATCCATCCCCATCGTCCTGTGCGCCGACCTCAACTCGCTGCCCGACTCCGGTAGGACCGCCTCGAGCACACGGACCACATTTCCACCCAATCGATAGGAGGCTGCGGGTCTCTGAGGTATTTCTGTTACTCGGAGCGTCTCGGTTAACGTTGCATGGTCGTGCAGGTGTGGTGGAGTACCTGAGCAACGGCGGCGTGGCCGAAAACCACAAGGACTTCAAGGAGCTGCGCTACAGCGAGTGTCTGACCAACTTCAACTGCAACGGCAAGAACGGCAACTCGGACGGGAGCATCACACACAGCTTCCAGCTGAAGAGCGCCTACGACAGCAACCTGATGCCTTACACCAACTACACCTACGACTTCAAGGTAGAGCGCCTCACTCACAGCTGCCGGGCGGTCTGTAGGACTCCGGTATCAATATGTTAAAGAACGCTGGAAACTAAGTTTTCCATCAACACCAATTTTTACAGAGAAGACTCTCAGCTTGTAGAGAAAAGATTGTTGGATCATTGAAAAAGCACTTAATGATAGAAAATATTCAGAGTTTAAGGAGAAATTAGATCTTTCTTCTGTCCTGAAATTTGAACTGTCCCAACTTTAAACGATTGAAAAAATAAAAAATAGTCCCCCGCCATTAAGCACCCATTAAATGAGCTTAATAGTCAGAAGTGGAAACCCAAGTATCCATATCTGCTGCAGGCCTGCGTCATACGTGTGGAACATTTCTTACAGACTGCTGTGGAAAGCCGCGGTGTGGATGGAAGACCTTTAACGGATCGCCGTTTTTGTTTTTTTTCACTTGCCGTTGGTTTTCTGCCTCTTTTTGAAACGTGTTGGTGGCAAAGCTCTCGAGTCGAGTCTAGCCTCACAGTTTTGAGTGGAGCTGACATTTCGGGGCCCGCTTTGGAATGAGTCACTTTCACATAAATCTGTGTTTTTTTTGCTTCGTATTGTTTTCATGACCACCAGTTCATCAGCTTCTGGCGGGTACTCATTTTTTTTTTTTCCATTTTAGAGCAGTTCTGTTCCTCTTTGCTGAGAAGGAAACAAACTTTTTCCTTCTTTTGTTTTTCTTTTCAACCGAGACGATTTTTCTCTTACTTTTTATGTTAGTCCATCCTCTTTACAGGTCTTTTATCAATCGCTCTCATACCAAAGTCCCGTGGAATTCAAACATTTTGGAATTTGATCTTCACAGTAAAATCCTCGGTATGATTTCCACATCCACTCTTGCGCAGGTCAGACTTAACGAGGACTGGGTCAGAGTTCAGCTCAAAGATTTAAACTGAATCCACCAACATTCAAAGAGCAGTGCAGCAATTCCACAGGCTGATACTTCTTCAGTAATGTTTTTAACCAGTTTCTGCTTCAGAGCTTCCCTCTGAACTGTGTTCTTATGGTACGTTCACACTGAACGTGACATGTGTGAAAAAGTTCTCCACCTCCTGCTTTTGCTCACTTTACATTTCACCAGAAAATTGTTCTGTTGCTTCCCGGTTTCACCTCGACTTGATGGACAGGGATTTTATGGAGGAGTTGGGAAGCTGAGCAAAGCCGCCGGCTTCCATGGTCCCAGCAGGTCCTACTGAGATACTTCCGCTTGTGCGAACCCAGACGCAGCTGGATGACTGCTGCTTTCTGCAGTGCTTAAATTAAAGGGAGACGGCATTCTGGAGCTCATAGAAGAGAGTCAGGGAAATGAGAGCAAGAACCTTGGCAGAGAGAGCACCAGAACCGGGATGATGTGGCTGGTCATGCCGACAGCAGGGGGTCAGAGAAGCCCACTGGCCAGACAGAGCGGAGGACAGGCAGCAACTGGCCGGTGTCGGTGCTGGAGGTAAGGGAGGACGATGAAACAGTCCTTCCTTTGTCAACATTTCGATTTTAAAAAGCTTGTCTCCTCTGCCTCCTTCACTGTAGGTCACAGCCACATCTACTCCCTGATTGGTTTTTGTGACACAGATTTAATTCAATTGAATTCCCAGCACTTTATGAGTCCCAAATGGAAATCAAATTAATATAAATCCTCTAATCATCCACCTTATTTTGGGATATTCTGGTCTATTTTGCATACCCACATGTAAAAGCAAATAACTTAGGAAGTATTAAGATAACACCTTCTAGTTTCTGAATATAGAAACTAAATTTTTGTGAGGAAAACACAGTCAATGCTGCAGCTGTTCGAACATGACTCAAAGTTGTTTTTTAATCCTAGAAAATAGTTTTTTTAACAGCAGTAATAAAGACATGCTTGCTTGTCGCAGCTGCTTTGTCATGTTTACATTTTGACATGCTGCTATATCTGTGTTAAATGTGCTTTGGTGTTCGCTATGTCCATAAAATTAACTTGTTGGTTGAATTGTGATGAATCTAAGCTTTCCAACGATGTCTAACATGTCTATATTGGTAAACATTTTGCCGGTGTAATTTTCATGCATTCTGAGTTATTGGATGTAAATGCTTTAAAACGACCCGGCGAGTTTTGAGAGGATAAACAATAAATAATAATGATAATCCCTAATAATGATAATAGATGTAAAGAATATAAAAAAAATTTCTGATTTTTCACTTTGCGTTCTTCACAGTGCTGTTTATGCTCATGCTCTGCTGATTTCACCAAAAACTCTCCATTTGCCTCACTCCTCCTCGCAGCGCTCCAGAGCCGCCATCTAGACAGGGTTAACGGTGAAATCGTTCACTACAACTGTGAAATTCACCTTCAGTGGGAATGCACCATTAGAGTTTGGATTCTAGGTTGGGATAAGCTCCAGCTTTTTAAAGGCTGGAACCAATCAGGTTCCAGCCTGGTTGGAGGGGTGGGGACAAAGATGACTCTGTTCAGTAGAAGTGATGATTTAACCAATCAGCAGCCAGCTCCCAATCTAGACACGGTCACCGCTGCCCCACCCATCCTCTGGTTCCAGCCGGGTCAATCACCATGGTAACCATCTCAGACCTGTTGGTTGGAACCTTCAGCTGACAAATCTGCCTCTTCTGTGTCTGCAGGGTGTCATCGACTACATCTTCTTCTCCAAGATACACATGAGCGTCCTGGGTGTCCTTGGACCACTGGACAGCCATTGGCTCATTGACAACAACATCACCGGCTGCCCCCACCCCCACATCCCCTCGGACCACTTCTCCCTGCTGGCCCAGCTGGAACTGCACCCTCCCCTATCCCACCCGCTGACCCCCCTCAACGGGCTGCACCTGCCGGTCCACAGGTAGTGCAGCCTGAGAACCCCCCCCACTTCTACCAACACCTCTAACCTCACCTACTCAGCTTTTAAACACTGCCCCCCCTCCCTCCCTTGGACCCTGTACAGTTCACCCACACTTAGACTCACCAAGAAGGAGTGAAGTATTTGCCCCTTTTTTCGCCCCTTTTCCTACTTTTTGCACAGTTTGTTTCCTTGGTTTATTTCCTCCCTTTAATCAAAGCTCGATACCAAAAATGTAGGTTTGGGAGGAAACTGTTAAAGTTTCCTCCAAAGTCAGTCCTTTGCCTTAGATTCGATTGTCACGGCGACGCAAAATGACCATCTTTTTAAAAGCTAGATTTCCCAGTTAAACCGTATCGGCACACAACATTGCTTTTCTTCCACTTTGTTTTTTTCCTTTTTCAAACTTTGATCAAATAAATCTTTTTAAGTCATAGTTTAAAAGCCATTACACAACTTTTTTTTTCATGCTATAATCTTTTGAAGAAGCAGATTGGTTTCTGCTTCAGTCATACGATAAATAGCAGAATTTCTGAACGTTACATGAGGAGTTTAAAAAGTTTATTGGTATTTTGTTGATTTATGAGCCAAGACATGCCGAAAGATGTAATTTGATGAAATGTGAGTAAAGTTCAGGAGTTTTTAAGATGGAAAAAGTTCATACTTTGTTTTTAAGAGTAGAATCCAACGTATGGGAGGCAGGATTATAAACCTTGGCACATTTCCTAAACCTAATCTGTCATTTTGAGGGTTTCCAGCTGCTTAAACTTGGGTTTATCTACCTGTTTCTCTCTTGTTTGCATTCTAATCTCTGGTCTGACAGCCAGTAAATCTCTCCCTGAATGATGCCTCTCAGTGCTGCATTAATGTAAGCAAGCTTTTTCTCCCCCCCAACTAGAAAGATTTATTTCTCATAATCTGGGATTATCCCTTCCTTTTATCAGTGGTACATACTTCACTACCTGAGGAAAACATCTGGGTTCTCCTCAGAGAAACAACACTTCTTACCAAACTAGTGGAATATATATTTTATATCTCCTGTTTTGTTTTTTGCTTTTCAAGTTATTTCTGATTGGCCAAAGAATCTCTAAACGAGTGACATACAATCTGTCTGACAGGTGACTCCTGAACAGAATGTATTCACCCAGACTAAAACTAAAAGCCCTTTACGTCGGTCAGATCTCAGGGCTTTCGCAGTACCTCTCACACTAACGACTAACGTGTCACTTTGTTTGAATAAAACTACAAAACAAAAAATGATTGTTTTTTTTCCCTGGACATTTCTATATAAGCACAGGTAATGTTTGTTCTTGCACGGGTTCATATTTTTGTACAATTCCTACGTCTTTGTGCATTTTTAATAAAAGAAAACTGCCGGTGCAATTTTCTTTCTTTGCCAAAAAAAAACGCTTGTTATCAGATTGTGCACAAAATTGTAAGTTATTTAAAGAAAAAATTGCCTTTAAACAGGCCAACTGATTAGTTTGAAAGTTAGAGCTTAACATTTCTGTCAATTGACAACACAGCTCAGGCGTACGACCTGAAAAACTAGAGACCAGCCTTCATTATCAGTGCAGATCACATTTAATAACACCCTTATTAAAAATGTTTAAAATGCATTTTTATATTAATTCATCTCTTATTACATAAACCTCATATATCCAAAGTTTAACCAAAGAGAAAGAATAAAAGATGCCAAATTGTTGATACCTCTAATGACTAAATCATGAACTTCTGTTTCTGGAGGTATAAATACGGTGTGACGCAAAAGCCAATTTAATTTAGCCAGGAAGCTTAATGAGGATTAAAGCCTCTAGAGAGCCGTGGGCATCTTGGTGTCACCAAGTCTCCAAACATCTGATCCAGATGTTCACTGAAGACAACAAAAAAAAGGGCTTGCAAGGGCCCAGGTTCTGCATGTTTTAGGTGCTTTCCTAATACGTGCTTTATTAGTTGGCCCTGCAGACTTAAGACATCCAGACTAGAGAAATTGGTCATTTTAATCTGATGTGTTAGAGAAGGAATGAATCTAACGTGCAGAAAATTGATACGGACCCCATGGTCTGCCTGGATGCTGTTTAGCAGAGATTCTAGTTGAATTAAAACACTTTTTTTTCTGTCTAACCATCACAAACGTAAACATGAAGGATTATCTCAATTGAAACGATGCGCAGATTCTTGATAGGAGGCAGGTTATGCTTAACAAACACTACAGGTTTCAGAATATAGGGAGGAATGCCTTCATTGTAAAAGGTGAAGGTTGATCCAGAACACGTGGCAGAAGAAATGACCTGATCTCAGACCTAAAACCCTCTGAGGAGATGAAAATATCAGCGAGGACTAAAACCCATCCCCCTGGTTAAAACGGGATGTATAAAGTATTAATAGGGGATAATAAGGTAAATTGAGTTTTTTTTTTCTTAATATCTACACTAAGAGCAGAAAAAGGTTATTTCCACTGCAGATGGGTCTAAACTGTTGGATCATGTGATAAAATTAGATGCACTGATTGTTAAAATTTTATTCTCAGCCTGAGACCCGGCGACCAGTTTAAGTTTGGACCGTTCTGTTCAGCTTTCATATCCGACCCGACCCAGCCTCCCCTGGTTCCGGTGGAGGTCACCTGTGAGCATGTCGAGGCCTTTACTTCACTCCTGAATGACCTGGCAGTGATTTTTTTCTACAGCAGCTTTATGTAAACAAACTCTTTGGTGATAATGGGGGGTGTCTTCCACATTCTGGCATTAAAGGAGCCCTTTTCTCCTTCCTACTCAAAAACGTACGCGACGTTGGACATTTTGTCTTTGTCCACGTGTTCCTGTAGAGGCCAAATGTCGCTGGACACTTTCTGTCTCTAACATACAGACTTTCAGATTGGAACTTTGTACAATTCAGTGTTACTGAGTTTTTTTTTCTGACAAAAAAAAGAATCAACACATAAATGTTTGTAGGTTTAACCACAGTTTGTCGGCATGGTTTTTATTTCCACACACTCCTGCTTTGAGATCTTTCAACCTTGTGAAAAACGTTATTATGACCTTTTGGAACTGGTCTTCATCAACAGCTTTTCAGGCTCACTTTTTAATTTTTGGAAACATGTTAATATCGGTCCAGAAAATGGCCCTTTTATAAAGACCTTTTTATTGTTTTAACCTGTAACCAAGGAAGGTCCACTTTATTTTTAGAGCACATTAATTTATTTTTGAATAAGGATTTTAATATAAATCTAAAATTTAATTGGATACAGTTTCAGATTATTTGAACTAGTTAAATTGAAGCCTTATAGGAGATTATTATGATTACAAGTTGTTTGAAAATGATGAGAAACGGCTTTCATTTTGGCTCACTTGGATAAATTCATATCATTTTTATATGTATAGAATAGAATAGAATAGAAAATCCCTTTATTGTCCCACAATGGGGAAATAGTGGTGTCACAGCAGCATTACACCAAAGTTGGTCACACAAATGTGGACCTTAGAAGTGTATAAAATATACTGTCCTATAAAGTATTTTTACAAATATAAATACGGTGCAGTAATCTGAAGAATAAATAATCAATATACAGCTCTGGACATTTTTACAGTAGTGGGAAAATAGCAGCAGCACCAGCGATGATGCAAAATGACAGCAGCATGTTATTTAAGTGACCAAGACAGGGAATGCAAAGGCGATATGAAAATTGTGATCTTACAAATTGTTTTATTCTTGTGACATTCAATTTGTTTCCCCATTTCTATTTCTATATAATTAATGGAAAAACTTAAATATCCAACAAATATAACTGGAGTAAATGAAAAATGTAGGTTAATGATTTGTAGCAGAAGTCAAGACTTTAACTAGGTGCTTTAAAACAGTTTAGAGTCACATCCACTGGTGTGGTATTCTGATAACGAGCAGAATCGGCCTCTGACCATCAATCTGATGATGGTTTTCTGAGCTGCTCTGTTAGTTTCACACTTGATGCAATGAGACTGGATTCTCTGTCTCATTTGTTCTGGACCTGGGTCAGCTGGAGGCCGTCTCTTAGTGATCTCTGCAGAGCATTTGTGAGCTGGTAAATGGTGCTTTGATGAACTCCTGGAGTAATTTTCACCACAGCTCTATGTTTCTCCTATTTAACTGTTCTCACTGTGCTTCACTGCCTCACAGAGTTTATTTACTCTTTAAATATCAATAGATGTCTGTAATTTGGCTTTATATGAACAAAGTTCCAGAAAAAAACTTTTACTAGACCTGGAAAACTGTTGATGAAGAGTATTTTACTTTTTGCAGATAGTTTCATCTTTAAACATTTCCTGTCTAACCTTCGATTAAACAAATTAAATCTGTTCCGTCTCTCTATGGAAGACCTTTTCTATTAACTCTGTGCCTAGTCTACAGATTCTCCAACAGCAGCACTGCCCATGAGATCAAGGCCCACAGAGATTCCCTGTCTTCAACCTTTTTCATCACCTTTTATTTACAGCGTTCACAAACATCAGCAACCGCTTTGATTGTAAGATCCCAGTCCGCCGCCTCCCCGGCTCTGATTGGTGAATCTGTCTCCACTGGTTCATTTACCAATGTGTTTTTAACATTGCATTTTGTGGCTCATTAAAAGGTTGATAAACGCTGAAATGTTTTCCTATCATCTCTGTACAGAGCGTTGAAAATGATAATAGATGTATAAAATGGATAATTAGATGGTTGGTTGATTTGTTTGGTTTTAGTGATTAAATACAAGCAAAGCTGGAGGGATATGAGCAGGATGGGGATGTGTAGAGTGCATTATTTATTAGATATAAACATGATAAAGTTCTTCAGCTTATTCTACCAGACAGATTTTTTAACTTTAAATTCAGTTTCTCTAGATCGTTTTTTTTTTGTGTTTAAGTAGAAACATTTAAAGCACAGGAGTGTTACTGTTTATTATCTGCATCTATGAATCATAGATTAATAATAACAGAAACCAACTCATCTGTTGAAAGAAGCAGAGCGAACTGTTTTTCAATTTTATATTTTAAGTATTTACAGATTGCTAATTGTTTAGTAAAAGGTGTTTTGGTAAAACTGGAGAACATGCATGCAGGCGGTGGTCACATCTGGGCCCAGATAGTAGTCTGACTCCTGCACCCTGATCTCAAGACTAGTGAAAGCTACAGAAGAACCTGAGGAAACAGTCAAGGTTATGACCAATGCAAACTTTCATGACTTGGTTCCTGATGGTGGGTGGAATAATTTTTGTCAAATTTAAAACCATAAACTAAATGCTGCATTATGGCTTTTTATAAAAAAAAGGGTCACTTTTTAAAATGGTATATTTTAAAGATGGGAGGAAAAAGACTGGATGCTGATCTTTATTCCCTTTAAAACAGGCTGCAGATTTTTATTGTTTTATTGATTGAGTTGAATTTCTTTTTAAGATCTACATGGTTTAGGATCTTAAGCGGCATCGTAGCTGGCTTGTTGGCATTACAGGCGATTACCAAAGCATCCAACAGTCAGCTAAAGACAACACAAAGGAAGCCTGGTTAATACCAATTTTATAACCTGTTAAATCAAGCTGCAAATTTTGACCCTTCTTGTCTAATTCAACCAATTAGCGCAGATGATTAATCTTTCTCCAGACATTCACCAGACTGGATGTTAAACCAGTTAACCTCAGCGGTGCAAAGGAAACACTTTAATGTATCGGAAGTGAGAATAAAACGTCAAACCAAATGAAATTGTTCAAGCGAGGTTACTTTTGACTGCAGCAAGGTGGTCTAGCTCATGACGCTGTTGCCATGCAGCATGAATGTTTGAACCATGGACCAGACTTTGCATGTTCCTCCCACGTGCATGCGTGGGTCCTCTCCGTGCTCCGGCTCCCTCCCACAGTCCGAAAAAAATCACTGTGTAGTTGGTGGATGGATGACTACGGCATATAATTATTTAGGGGAAATATTTTGTCTCAAATTTTCATACCATCTTCTCATAAACTCAGATATCCTGATAGAAAGTCCCCCTTAGTCCCTTAAGGGGATCTACAGTGACCTTTCAGGGACGTGGGTTGACCTGCTCTAAGCTATTAATAATGATGAACAGAAGGTAACCACCATCCTGTAGACCGGAGGTCTTCAACAGGGGTTCCCCGACCCCTAGGGGGTCGCTAAAAGTTTTGGTTTATTAGACTTTTTTTATATTCCCCCTGCAATTTTTTCCACTAATTGAAATGTCTTTAAAGCCACATTAACATGAATTCAACACACTGTAGTAAACAAATAAATGGAGGCAGAAGATGTCTTTCAGTCATCAATGCACACATTCAGAGACACACAGGAGCTCTTTCAAGCTGGGCACCATTTCATTCACAACACCTGTCCCATCAACCAGGAATCAGAATCAGAAATACTTTAATAATCCCAGGGAGAAATTACTTCTGTTACATTACTCCATCTGTAATAGAGTGACTATAATACCAGTTTACACAATTTCATGCAATATATATACTGTAATTAGGGGGTCCCCGCTCAATCTAGCCATCAGTTTGGGGGTCCTTGGCCTGGAAAACGTTGAAGGACCCCTGCTGTAGACTAACCCTCCGGGATCCACTTGAACCATTGGGAATTGGAAGACGTGAACCTTGGAACACATCCAGAAATTTTAAGAGTCTCTGTAGATTGGACAGAGGGCTGACCTTTGACCCTGTGCCTCCTGTCTTCCACTTTTTAATGAATATCAGGCCTTAGCAATGAAACATGTAAGAAAGAAAGCGTTCTGATTTTGAAATGTATATTTTCATTCAGTATGATTTCATTTCCTGCTTTATTACTATGAAAAAATATATAAATTTTTTTCCTTAATGTGAATGTTAGTAAAGTTAATATTGCTACATTTAGCACCAGAAGAAATTGTGAAATTTCATTTCTTAACCAAAAAAATATATATTTTTAAAAATCAGTTTTTATTAAAAGAAAAATTAACATCAAATATTAATCGAGTTGCAAAAAAAATCTGAAAGCCTTATGTAAGCCTTCGTTAACCCGCCACTCAGAGCAACCAGGAGAAGAGCTTTATTCGTCTCAGCTGCTCCATCACCAAACTAGAAGTGAGAACAATCTACGACTAAATGAAGTCCAGTTTGTGTTTATAAAGCTGCAAATAAGGAAGTGCGTTTAAAACTATGTGATATGTTTTACGTTTCTAAAACTTTCTTTGAAGTCTGCCCATCTTCCAACTGTGCACCTTGTCAATATCTATGTTTGATGCTTTGAATTTTGGGAACATGACACAGACCAAAAAACAGCACCTAGGACCTCAGAGCAGCAATTAGTCAGGCATCATAATGATGTCCTGCAGTCAGGATATCCTGGAGCAGGCATCCCCAAACTCGGTCTTCGAGGCCCGCTGTCCTGCAGGTTTTAGAGGTTTCCCTGCTTTAGCACAGCTGATTATGATGATTGCAGTAGACCAACAGCCTGTTAATCAACTATCAATTAAAATCAGCTGTGCTGGAGCAGAGAAACATCTAAAACCTGCAGGACAGCGGCCCTCGAGGACCGAGTTTGGGGATGCCTGTCCTGGAGTATACAGGTGCTGGTCATAAAATTAGAATATCATGAAAAAGTAGATTGATTTCAGTAATTCCATTTAAAAAGTGAAACTTGTATATTATATTCATACATTACATACAAACTCATATATTTCAGATGTTTATTTTGTTTAATTTTGATGATTACAAATGACAACAAAGGAAAATCTCAAATTCATCATATCAGAAAATTAGAATATTACTGAAGACCAATAAAAACAAAGGATTTATAGAAATGTTGGCCAACTGAAAAGTATGAACATGAAAAGTATGAGCATGTACAGCACTCAGTATTTAGTTGGGCCTCCTTTGGCCTGTATTACTGCAGCAATGCGGCGTGGCATGGAGTCGATCAGTCTGTGGCACTGCTCAGGTGTTATGATAGCCCAGGTTGCTCTAATAGTGGCTTTTAGCTCTTCTGAATTGTTGGGTCTGGTGTATTGCATCTTCTTCTTCACAATACCCCATAGATTTTCTATGGGGTTAAGGTCAGGAGAGTTTGCTGGCCAATTAAGAACAGGGATACCATGGTCCTTCAACCAGGTACTGGTAGCTTTGGCACTGTGTGCAGGTGCCAAGTCCTGTTGGAAAATGAAATCTGCATCTCCAAAAAGTTGGTCAGCTGCAGGAAGCATGAAGTGCTCTAAAACTTCCTGGTATGTGGCTGCGTTGACCCTGGACCTCAGAAAACACAATGGACCAACACCAGCAGATGACATGGCACCCCAAACCATCACTGACTGTGGAAACTTTACACTGGACTTCAAGCAACGTGGATGAAGTGCCTCTCTTCTTTTCCTCCAGACTCTGGGACCTTGATTTCCAAAGGAAATGCAAAATTTACTTTCATCAGAGAACATGACTTTGGACCACTCACCAGCAGTCCAGTCCTGTTTCTCTTTAGCCCAGGCAAGACGCTTCTGACGCTGTCTGTGGTTCAAGAGTGGCTTGACACAAGGAATGCGACAGCAGAAACCCATGTCTTTCATACGTCTGTGTGTGGTGGTTCTTGAAGCACTCACTCCAGCTGCAGTCCACTCTTTGTGAATCTCCCCCACATTTTTGAATGGGTTTTGTTTCACAATCCTCTCCAGGGTGCGGTTATCTCTCTTGCTTGTACACTTTTTTCGACCACATCTTTTCCTTCCCTTCGCCTCTCTATTAATGTGCTTGGACACTGAGCTCTGTGAACAGCCAGCCTCTTTAGCGATGACCTTTTGTGTCTTGCCCTCCTTGTGCAAGGTGTCGATGGTCGTCTTTTGGACAACTGTCAAGTCAGCAGTCTTCCCCATGATTGTGTAGCCTATAGAACTAGACTGAAAGACCATTTAAAGGCTTTTGCAGGTGGTTTGAGTTAATTAGCTGATTAGAGTGTGGCACCAGGGGCCATCAATTTTGAACCTTTTCACAATATTCTAATTTTCTGATATGATGAATTTGAGATTTTCATTTGTTGTCATTTGTAATCATCAAAATTAAACAAAATAAACATCTGAAATATATGAGTTTGTATGTAATGTATGAATATAATATATAAGTTTCACTTTTTAAATGGAATTACTGAAATCAATCTACTTTTTCATGATATTCTAATTTTATGACCAGCACCTGTAATACGGCCAGAATAATGGATCCTGCAGGACAGAATTAGACAGAGCGAAGAGGTGAAGTTCGGAGGTGTTCAGCAGAGGACATCGTGCTCAGTTGTGCTGCTTCCTTTCTTGATGGAGGTTAATCAAACTATGTCTATATTTGCATTTTTTAGCAAGGTGTTGCTACTGGCAGGTGGACCACATGGAATATACTGATGGGTTAACTCAGGCTTCAGCTGACTTCCATTCTTTGTTTTTTTTTGTGTGTGTGTGTTTTTTTTTATGCAGACATTTTCTCCTCAGTTACATCCTCCAGCTCATTCTGGGGGATCCCACAAAGTTCCCAGGCCAGAGGGCACATATTGCGAGTTCTGGGTCTCTCCCCAGTGGGAAAGACTCCAAAGGAACCTTAAACCTTAACGCAGGCTGCATCAAGTGCTTGCTGGATTTTTCTGGTTGTTTTTTGAGTTCTAAATGCTGAGAATGGCTCACTGATTGACCAAAGATGGCTGATCAAGATGGCATCCCTGCCGAAGCAGAAGCAGTGAGATCTGCCGATCTTTCTGTATTCCTCACACATTTTCTTCCAGGCTTCTTCTATGTTGTCTTTAGCTGACTGTCGGATGCTTCGGTAATCGCCTGTAACACCAAAAAGCCAGCTAGGATGCCGTTTAAGATCCTGAATAATTCTCTAAACCATTGCTAGTCTGCTTGTTTGCCACAGTATTTGCATCCCTATTGACCGGTTTATAAAAGCTTCTAAAAGAAACCTCAACAACTGAAGGTACGCATCGACTAATGGTGGAAAAAGCAGGTGTTTAGACATTTAACATGAGTTTATATCTGATCGTAGAAAAGTCGTTCAGTCATGGTAACCCTCTTAATTCATTTCACATTAATGTTTTATTTAGAAGAGCTGAAGCTCGACAACCATTGGTACATCTACTAAATCACTCCTCACCCTGAAAAAACAGAAATCTAAATAAGACATTTTTTCTCAAAAACTTACTATTTACTTTTAAGATAAGAAAAAAAACTGCATTTTCATATTTCAAGTGCATATTATCTAATTACTTTATTTTAAGAGTAAAAATACCGATTCCATGGGCATATCATGTTATTTACTTACTCAAATTAAGGGTAAATACACTTAATTTAAGACATTTTTACTTATTTCTACATTGTTTTTGCAGTGCACCTTTAGGGCAATAAATGATCAGTCTTAATGGAGTATTTTTATTCTTGTTTTTATTTCTTCATTTAAAAAAAACATGATAATAGAGTTAGAAGAAACAGAACTTGAGCTTATTCACAAAGAGAGTACATTTGATCAGCATGGAGTGCATGGAAATAATGAAACCAGTATAAAAAAAATATGAAATTCAGATTTAACGTAGAAAAATAAAACATCGGCTCAGCTCTTTTGCGCATTAACCGCTGTCATATGAGGTTGGATGAAGCACTTTCTGCAGAATATCCCTCAGAAGGTTGTTGTAGACACAGTGGTTGTGGTGATGTTTTCATAGCCCCTGGAATTCAGTTAAGAAAAGATAAAGATGAAAGAGGGAAACCAGAAACCAACAGCAGTTTGATGCTGTATGCTAATCATAGATGTTTAATAAGCACCCTGTTAGGATAAGCTGGTTATGCAATGGATGGATGGATGGATGGATGGGAAATGTTTTGAGAGAATTTAGAATTTTGATTATTACCATTATCGTAATAAATGACGACGAATGCAAGGCGCCGCGCCTGCTTTGTCACAGCCCATCCTTTAGACACAACAACATACCAGTAAATCATACAATTCATGTCAAATGGCAAAGAAAATCATGTGTTTTCTAAATTGGTTCCTGCTGTTTTTTTTTCAGTAAAAACATTATTTGAGTCAGGCCTGTAGTCAGACATTAAAAACAGAAGACTGTATTTATGGATAAAGATGAGGAAAAAAACTTTCTTATTTTCCTACTAAATTGATGTCTTTAATCCTAGTTTAGAAATTCTTTAATCAAACTTTTTAAAAGTTATTGTGGCTCAGAACCAGAAACTACAGCTAAAACTGATCTGGATCCAGATCAGTCATCAGATTCCTGATCTAAACTTCTATGGGAAGAATTAACTAATGTTGTTTTTATTAAACTAAAGGGAGTGCTGAAATATCCATCCATCCATCCATCCATCCATCCATCCATCCATCCATCCATCCATCCATCCATCAGAACAACACAAAAATAAAGGTTCCTACCCGTCAAGTTTCCTGAGGAACTCTGGGAACCACGCAGCATTTGGACTGATACAAACTTTGGAGCCATTTTTCCTGATGACACTAAAGGAAGAGAGTCAGAGAAACAATTACCTCGATTATAGATTCAAGAGCTAAACACTAGAATTGACGATAATTGATAAGGAAAACATTTTTATTTATTTATTAACCTTTAAATTTTTGAGCCAAAAAAATTTGATCAAATCCAGTTAAAATGGTGGTTGATGTATGGCTGAAGTTACTTACACTCTTTCTGCACGGCGGCAACGTCCTGATGGAGGAGTCACCTCCACTTTGGCAACATTGAGGGGAGAAATACGATGAAAGGAGGTTTTTAAACAGCGACACCCTGACCTGGAAGATGCTGCAGAGAAAAACAATCACATGATTAAAATAATGTTCAATATGTTCTCAGCTCTCAGCCCACTGCCTTCCCTGTGTTTAATCCCTGTCTTAAACTAGGTTTTAACAAATTAAAAACAGGAAAAGATTGATTTTTTTTTCTTCATGTTAATATTTTTTCACACATTTCATAATAATTTAATCTAAATAATTTAGGTTATGTTTTTTAATGGCAAAAAAAGTACAGCTAAACTAATACGAAATAAATAAACAAACTCAGTAACTATAAAATTGTCAGAATGTTGAATCAAACATTAGGATTTTCATACCATGCAGCTCAGGGATGCAGCAGCAGAGAGTCAGAGCAACCAGGAGGATCAGAGCTTTCTTCATCTTCAGAGTTTCTGAGCTTTCAGCACCGTCAAGGATGTGGCGAAGATGTGTGAGTGAATGAAGTCTAGCCTTCGTTTATAAAGCTGCAAATAAGGAAGTAAGCGCGTTGGTGTCGTAAAAAAGCTTTGCTTTCTTCCCATCTGAACGTACAGGAAAAAGACAATTATATGTAAAACTTGTGGCATCTTGGTGCTTTCTGGGGGTTTTGCTGAATCAACATTATTTTGGGTGATTTTTTTTATGGGCTTCTTTTAATAAATCTATTTAGCAGAAGTTTATTTGAATCAAAATAGTAATCTGCTGTAATTTCAAAGATAGCTACAGGGACTTTATAAAAACTGATAATTATTCAGAAGACCAAACGTTCACATCATGGACCTGTTTTTGTTATGCTTTAGCATACTCAAATAGTTATTACATATATTCTCCTTTGACTTAACTAATAATCTATTAATTTGTGATATGATATATAATTTGAGACAAGATTTTATGAGAATTTTGTTTCATGTTTTTACATAAGACAAAAAATTACATCCGATCACTAAACAGTGGATATCGATAACAATCCTTCTCACAGCCGTTATGCCTCTATTTAACTCAGATATATAATCAATTCATTTTAGCTCTTATTCGCTGATGAGATTTATAAACAAATATCCTCTAATGTCAGGTTATGTGGAGGTTCTAAGAGGACCCAAATGCAGAGACAGAAGCTGATGTGGTTTCATACTGATTTAATTATCCAAAAGGTGGCAATTGAGCCAAAAATCCAAAAATAAGAAATCACAGAAAACCAAAAATGAGAAGAAGGGAAAACACACAGGGGGAGCAAATAAACGACAAGAAACCAGAAAACTGTAACTGAAGAGGAGGAGTATATGGCTACGATCACACTGCAGGCCTTGAAAAGCACCTTTGAGATTGCTCAAAAGTTTGTGACGTATGCCAGTGTATGCCATACGTGGGCCATAAGTTACAGGTAAGTTATTTGATCGTTGACATACGTTAAGTGTAAGTTCCTTATATGTCGCTTCCTCTAGCTTATCCAACACCTATGAGTAACTTGTGCATAACTTACACGTAACTCATCAAGCACTTATCTTTAACGCATATCAACGTATTTGATCCAGACGACCACAGAAGGTGTCTCTAACGCACAGCTACTGTATAATGGCGTATTGACAGCGTTTTTGGTATTGGGGGGGTTCACATGAGGAAACTGTCAGTTCTTCACCAGACTTCATCCCCATCATAGGAGCGAAAAGGTGAGTGTGATGGATCTTCCCTGCCTTCACGGCCACAACCAAAAATCCTCCTAGCAGACATGATTCTGAATCTGTTGTGACTGTAAACCCTCTTTCTTTCTTCCTTTTCTTTTTTAGTTTTATTTATTTTTTTGGGCGGACTGTAAACAGCAGCCAGGTTAATACCGTGATCAAAGACATCTTTTTATGCAGACCAGTTATCTCCGGGCGCATCACTGTGCCGCCTGAGGGGAGCAGCTTTAACTGATGCTTCGTAATGCTCATGAAATGATGCACAAGCATCATTTCATGGGCATTGGGCATTGCTGTGCGTTATGCACAAGTTAGGCATTCGTTGGACATAAGTTCTGGACTCGTTATGAATACGCTATGTATACGCCCGAACTTGAAAAAATACATGGAAAGGTTAGCATATGCCAGCGTTTTAGAAGATTCTGGGACGTCGGGCAACGCTGTCAAGAAAAAGGCTTCCTCAACCCCTCGCTCAAACCATCTTTCTTCCTTGGACAGAATATGGACGTTGTTGTCCTCAAACAAGTGTCCTTTAGCCTTCAGGTGTGTCTCCAATGTAAAGGTCTGCGCACGCTTCACTACACTGAACGGTGGAAACCACGTTGCCGGCCTTGTTTCTGGGTGTCTTGTCTTTGGGGTTAACCAGTTTTTGTCTCAGGGTGTTTGAAGTGTGCAGGGATCCTGTGTCGGTTGAAAATCCTCCTGTTTTTCAAAGACTCCAGCAACATATGGAATGACAATGTTCCTTCTTCTGTTTTCTTCCCTCTCAGGAGACTTCTTCTTGTTGATTTTTAGAAAAGCCCACCTGGGATAACCACAGTTCTTCAGGGATGTCCTAATGTGTCCATGTTCTCTCACCTTCCCTCTGTTGATGGTGGGAATGGTTTCTGCTCCTGTCTGAGGGTTCTGATGACGTCTAGTTTGTGTTCCAGTGGGTGTAGTGGTGATATCTAGATAATGAGGTCATCTTATCATTTTAGCAAAACAAAGCCTCACTGCAGGTCCCTTTCCCTTCCTAGTGCAGATCTGAGCTCCCTTCGTTTCAGAGTCCAAGATCAGTTTCCAATTTGACCCATTTCATCATACAACACAACTGTTTTATTTTCTTATTCTTGTGAGCAGTCTGGGATGTGGTTTAAGCTGCACTTGTGGCTGGTCTATTGTGATCCATATTCAGAAACAGTAGCTTGTTTTGCTAATGCGTTAATGGTGCACAAAGTAGCCAGGTTAACAATGTCATCAATGCAAATGCACAGAGAATCCAACCTGAATCCCACTGTCATGAACTGACTAATGGAACTAATAGAGACAACCGCCATAATTAGAGGGAAACTCATTTTACAAGTAAGTAATAATAAAAAATTGAAATTTACCCTTTAAACTTGAGCAATGCTCAAGTTATACATTACATAATGTAATGTTATGTACAGTAACATTATATAGCATACAACAATGTTTCTTAACCTCAAGTAGCATTTTATAATATAGAATAAATTAATATGAGATAAATTCCAATTACATAATGTCACATTGAGAACAATACACAATGAAACATAACATAAAATTTATTATAGCATAAACTATAATGGAGTGTTGGCCTAGTCGTTAGAGCAGTTTGTTTGTGCTCTGAGAAGGTTGCAATACCCTGATTGATCCCCACAGTTTCCACTCTGGGTTACTGATCAAGACCCTTTACCCCACACTGCTCCTCATGCACCACACAATGGCGGCCCGCTGCTCACCAAGGGGATGGTTCAAATATAGAGATTGAATTTCCCCATTGTGGGAAAATAAAGTGATTTAGAACCGGACCGGAGTGATTTAGAAGGTTAAGAAAACCTAACATGCATCAAATAAGATGCTCAAAAGACAAATCAAAAAAATATTTAAATCGTGGCCTATGTCTTTCAGTGGTTGGAAGGTTAAAGGGGGAAAATTAGGTCGACAACAAAGTCTTATCTCAAACTGAGCATAAAGCTCCAAAGAGAAGGAGGAGTAACCTTATCCATCCGTTTAAGCAAAAATACTCCTTTATTTTGGAAGGCGGTTCCTTCTTGCTCTCTTTGTGCTTTCTGAGAGAGACAGGCTGCCTGATACCTTACCAAAGGTTCACCAATGTTTCTCCCTTTAATCCTGTTTGCTACTTTAAAGGAAGCTTATCATTGTTTTTATGGGTGGTAAAAATAAAAAAAAAGCAAAATAAACCTTCGATCTATGTAAATAAAATAGTCACTGTAAAGAAAAACAAGAAGGATGAGAAGAGGTATCTATTTCTGCTATAATAAGTTTAATCTATGGTATTATTTTGTTCAGTAATAGGTAAAGATGCAAAAACATATTCATGACAAGACTACCACTACTAACCACCGATTCGCTCCTCCGTCCACTGCTATGGAGAGAGGAGTAGGAGGAGATGGTTTCTTTATACAAAAAATAGGTGAAACAGGTGAATAAACAATAAATACAGCAGAAACTATAAAGCAATTGTCTGAAAAGAAGTAATTACATCAGTTTGGGTTGAGAGTGGTAGATAAAATAAATCAGGAACAGAAAGCTACAACAGCGGACCAGAAGGCCTAGACTTCTGTATTTCCCTCAGGGGTCTCACCCAACTTCCTATTCTGGTAAGTACAGGGAAAGTAATCCCCCGGTCAAAGAAGAGCATACTTCCCACACATGAAAATAAGATTCTGATTCAAAAATAAGCTCTGATGAGTGAAGTATTAACAAATAACTCAGACAGATGAAACCTCTTGTCAACATGTGTTTTTTTCTGGTTTCAACAGAAGCAGACCAAACGTGATCGTCTATTTACCTCAACTAAAATAATGCAGAATATCTGAAAAAGCAATTTTGCTTCATAACTAGAAGGTCACCTGTGGGTGAAAGAAACCCATTTGAGCACCACTGACTCACCTCACCCAAGTTCCACTAAAGATACAGCAGCAGTGACTCTGCACAACTCTGTAGAATGTGGATGCATGAAGAAAGACAGACAACAGAGACTGAGAGACATTCTATTTAACTCTATCTGAGATACTACATATAATTAAATTTGAAAGTAATGGAAGGAATATTATTACTTAAGGATGGAGCAATAGTCTGGACAGCTGGGATGTCTGACTCTCCACATAAAGCTCGATTAACGTCTCTGACGAGACATCATGGTCGTCACACAGTCTATAAGCTGCAGACCTTTAAACAGATGGCATTATATAAAGCATGAGCTTTAATGACATTTTAAAATCTCTCTCACATAGTAGAGTTTATAAGCTGTACCAGGGCTGTGTTGACATTGGCTTCTTTAACTCATTGCTCTGAGATGCTCTTTAATCTAGGTTGTTTCTGTAGTTTGATTTAGTTTTAATTATTGTTTTCCTCTTTTTTCCTCTTTTTTCCTCTTTTTCTTTGGTCTTTAGTTTAGTTCATTTAATTTCTTAGTTCTTCTAGTTTATTTATTCCTTTTTGTTGTTTCTAGTTGTCCTTTATTAATGGTAGATTATTTTTTCATAGTTTACCTGTTTGCTCTCTGTCGCCCCCTACTGTTCTTCTTCTTTCTGCTCTCTCCAGTCACACCTGCAAACAATTAGCCAATCAGCCCCAGCCTATTGAAACTCCCAGTATTTAATCTCCTCTCCTAATCTCACTCCTCGCTGATTCCTCTTGTAACTGCATGGTATTTACCCACCATTATTGCTTACTGTTGGGGAGTGTTGGCCTAGTGATTATAGCAGCGTGCTTGTTCTCCGAGAAGGTTGCAAGTATCC